AAAATTAATAACTTTTTTTTATTAAAAATAATTTTTTAATATTTCTCTTATAAATTTGTTTCTCTATTTAATAAGAAATAGAACTTTGCAGCCCAATTCACAAAATATAAGTCACGAGGGCTCACAATTTTCCAAAATTTGAACACAATGGAAAAGTCAGATTGAAAAGTTCAAAGGAACTTGTGCGTTTGGTGTGATTGAATTACGCCGAGGTGAAACTTGTATATTCAAACACACGCAATGTTGGGAAGTATTTTATTTAACTACAGCAAGTGAGGGGGGAATTTATATATTCAGCTTTTGAGTAGCGCGTCGGGGAGCAAAACACACAGCGCATAAGAGCAACCTGTTAGAAGGCCTTTTATTGGCTATGGTGATTGAGTTAAATTGCCATCCGAGGGGCTTGTTTGCTCCGAGGAATAATTAACTCGAGCGCGAGTGCCGCAGAGAGACAGAGTAGGGCTGTTTCTTCTTTCCCAGTTGCTTTCAACCACCGGCAATGAAAGTAATTAAGTTTCAAAATGCTGGCGACAAAATGAGAACAAACAAAAAGAAAGAGAATTAAGCGACTGACAATGAGTGCCGAGAGTATATCGGATTTCGCCCGAGAGGCGAGGAGCCGGATCGAATTAAGTGAGTGGGAGAGCCGCGTGTGAAGAGAACAGAGAGCGAATGCGGTAGGTTAGGCAACTCGCGGCTACTCGCGAGACGAGCAAATTGCCTATACTGCACCGTTCACAAGAATCAAAAGAAATAATTTTAATTTTTTTTATTTCGTAAAAAATATAAAGAAACACCATATTTTGATTTTTGAAAAGTTCAAGGTAGCAAAAATATTATTATCATTTTCCTATGTTTGCGGGAAGCCCCCATTTCTTTTGATTGTGAGGCCACTGCGGTAAAAAATAAACTAAACGAAGACTTTGAGGGCAGGAAATTGAGGAGTTTAACCAAATTTTCTGTTGCGTGTGAAATAGCTTATCAAAGCACGGCAAAACCGCAGACAGTAAACAAATTAATTTTTTAATATTAATGATATTTTTCTGTTTGTCAAGACCTCAACAAAAACAAAATGATAACAATTTAATTTTATATATAGTTACTTTTAACCTATTATATAATAATAAAAATCACTTTGTCTTTAAGAGAACGATTTATAAATAAATTATATAAATAATGCCAATTTTTTATCCAATATTATTACACCAGAATTTTACCAAGGGAAATTCCTACTTTTAGATTTGTTGTGTTTAATTATTTAATTTTGACTCTGCGCTTATTAAGAATTTGAAAAATTTGAAATTTCAGTTAGGCCTAAACGAATTGCTGGGCCGAAGCGAAACATTTATCCACGTAGATTAAACTGCGGGCCGAATCACAAATAATAACGCCTTTCATCGGAACAAACAATGGCTGTTGCTATTTAAAAAGCGAAAAATTTGCCTGACAATGGCGTCGTCTTGCTTGGCTTTGCCACGCATGAATTATTTATGTAATTACCATCGAGCAGGCTGCGTGCGGGCGCAGTGTGTGTGAGAAAGTCGACAAACTGCACAATTGCCGAGGGGTAGCTTTTTGTGCTGGAATTTCTCGCGGCAACAGGTGCAGGTGGAAACGGAAGTAGTAAAGGGGCGGCAGGTGAATTCAGAAGAAAGCGGCCGTTGCTTACCTTGAGCATGACCCGACCGGCGGCCACCCCTGGACGGCCTCGTTGGCTTGACTGGCGGCAAACAGGACGCGGCGGCGGCCGCCCCCACCCCTGGCTGGAAGTGGCCTGTGGTCGCCCGCGCGCAGATAAGCCTAATTATTATGCACGTCTTATTTATTTTTTCGGAATTTCTCTCCGCAGCGACGCGGTGTTTTTGTTGTTTGATGGTTTGAGTGCCTCGTGTACCGCAAATGCACTAATTAATTCGATTTGGCCGACGGAAATTGACTTATGCGCCCCCGGCCGATCTTGACTAACTCAATCTCCTGTCCCGGCGTCTTGCTGTGTCGCCGAGAAATGGAATTTGAAAGTTTTTGCGAAATTCAGCGGCGCGGTTAAATGTTGCACAGAGGCAAGAAGTGCTTTCGAGTTTTAATTAGGGCGGAGCTCCCCCCAGAGGGGCTTTTCAAAGCTTTTTTCATTTCAACTCTCAATCAGAAATCGACCTAGTTTCTTGCTCAATAGTGAGCTGCAGGCTGATTGTATATTTATAAAGACTGTTGATTTGTTTGTCGTTAATTTCCATCAAATTATGAATTAGTATTTTTGCCAATTTTTAATTTTTAAATATTTCTGTCTTGTTGAACATAATTAATTATTTTACCCCAAACACTCAAGAAATCGGTTAAACAAAATGTTTAAAATCTGAATAATAATTTTCCCGGGCCCACCATCAACAAAATTTTTGTGAAAAGCTGTTCTTATAGCAAATAAAAGTGACCTTGGAAAAGATTAAAATAATTTTTGTTTTCTAAATTCAAATAATATCTTTTACTCTAACTTTTACTACCTACAATCAACTAAATTGATAAAATTTCAGGGCAAAATTGCTCGTAATTTTGTTGTCCATAATATGGGTGAACCCAATCAACATTAATTTGCAAATAATTTTCAAATTTAAACTTGAATTTAACCAGATATTTAAGTTTTATTTTATGCTAAATGCACAAAAACAATATAAAATTATAATTTCAGATTAATTTTAGCAGCATCTGATTTTTTTTTTTAATTGATTAATATTATTTATTTAATTTTTTTTTAATAATGTTTATTTTAGATGAACATGAATCTTTTCGTTTGTTTACCCTATTAAAATTAATATCAACTTTCCAACTCTGCGGTTTCCAGAATTAATCTCGGCTAAAAACCACAATTTTTTGACAGTCCAGAAATATTGGTCGGTTGGTTTCGGCACCTAATTTGAATACCAAAATAGCGACTGCGTGTATTTCGGTTGATTTTTTAGTGCATCCAGTCGGGGGGTGGTCGCGAGAGAGCAGGGTGACCGTGGGAGCCGTCATAACTCACTCGCCGGCGCGTAATTAACTCGCGCGGCGCTCACCTGCGTGATGTGTGCGCATTCGTTGGCATTCTCGCTTTGAAGCCGCGGCGGCGACAATAGCAGGTGCGGATATTAAAAGCGTTCGCCCGAGAAACAATCGGCGAGAAAGAGAATTAAAAATGCACGAAGGAGAGCTGTATGAGTGCGGCGAGCGGAAAAAAATGCCGCCGTTTCATCGAGCGTTGTAATTATTTTCGCAATGACAAAGAGGCGCCGCGCGCTCGTTAAAAATGCGAGAGAGCAGAACCGAGATTGGCGCGGATTGATAACAGAGGCAGCGGAAAATGAAAAATTAAAAAAGAGGCGACATTAAACTAGGGAAAAAAATACAAACGCAAAAGGGACGCAGGTAAATTAGGTCAAATTTGCAATAAAAATTAATTTTTTTTAATTAAAATATATTTAAATAATTGAAAATATAAACTTATGAGCAGCAATAATTGCCCTGATGGAAGTTAGATACACAAGATTTGGAGGTATATTTAATAATTATGATTTTCAAGTAGCTTTTTTTGTGAATTAAATCAATTAAATTAAATAATATGTAAAAATTTGTTAAATATGAAAAAAATGTAGAAAATAATTAAAACAAAAAATTATTTATTTAAGTGGTAAACTTTTAATTATTTTTTTTATAAACATATGAATTTACTTTAAATGATTAAATTATTTACTGTTTATTATAAAGTTAAAATAAAATTATTTTATAATATGAATTTTTGGTAAAATGTTTTGTCGACTATTTGTAGCACCAACGCAATATAGTAACGTGGATCAACTTTTTTAAATGCGCGGGATTAAATAAAGAACTAGTTCAGCCGACCGTTACAATATGAACCGATTACGAATTTAAAAGGCCCGTCAGAGAGGGAGAACCTTTAAAAAAATACTCATCTCCTGATACCCAACGGTCTTTATGCAGATTACACCTTTCTTTAGGTCGCCGAGGGCTGTATTTTACTACTCCATTTTCGGGGGCTTTTCTTTTCTTCATCTCCGCAATCCTAATTTCAATAATAATGAATCGAAAATTATTGTTGAAATAATATACTATAGGCATCGTAGTTAATTTGGTCGTACGAAGAAAGGGCAGGAAACCAGACCGGTCCCGCTAATTGCGGCGTGAGAACGTGAATTTTGTATTTCGGCTGGCACGACCAGCCACCGCCATCGGACGGCGAGCGACGCAAACGCAGGATCGCGAGCAGCGGCCGAGGCGCCCCCGTCGTTGCGCCGAAGAACTCGATTCGCGTGAATGGGCCCCATTCATTGAAAGCTTGTATAAGATTAATACACATATATAGAAATGTACACTTCTTGATCGAGATTAAATTTACAACGGACGAACTCGCTGACGGTTCGCGTCGCGAGGCAAAAAATATTAGGAAAGAAGACGCGGCAGCAAAGCGAGAGGGGAACGAGAAATAGATACAAAGTTGTCTCCGAGCGATTTAGTGAGACGGACGAGTTTGTGACTTGAAAGGCAACGGTCGTTTGCGCCTTATTAAGTTGACATTGGGAAATAAAGTCAAAAAACTTTAATTTTTATAACAAGTTTTTCTCGTCATTTTTATAATAAATAAAATATTTTGAGAAAATATTGATACTAATTAATAATTTTCAATATTTTAATTTTGTTTCAAAAAGATAGATTTCAACTTGAAATTTCAGCTGCCTAATTTTTCTAGGTAAACTTAAAGAAGCAAAGTATCGATGATTCAAATTCAAAGTTTTAGCAAAATTCTTTCTTGCTAGTGTGGTGCAGTTTTGTCCATAACAATTTCATTTTCTTTCGAACAGAAATAACTTAATGTTGACAAATTAACCAAAAATAAACGATATAATTTTGCACTAAAAACAAATTTGATTTTTTTTTTTTTATAAATTGTACTACTTCTTCAAACTTTTCATTCTGTTTTCCAAAAACTAAGATAAAAATTGTGTACTCACCAAGAGAGCTTTCGGGGTCGCTGAGGTCACTGAGCGAGGGCACCTTCTGCATACTTTTGCCCGCAGGGACGCAGGCCTCGTCCTCCGGCTCCATTTTGATGCTTGGGGTCGGCGATTCGGAGCCCCGGTGCCCTGGCGGCAACTGGAAGCGCTGCACAGAAAAAAAGTCTTGAATGAAACGTGCGTCGATTGACAATCGCATACAAAAAGCATTAGCAGCCGATTTGGCGCTTATATACATTTACTTATATTGGTTTTGTATTAACTTTGGTACAAATGCGTCTGTATAAATACATAATGTGAATTTGGCATGCAGGCCCTCGCGTGTCCCTGGTGCATTGTTTTCAGACACAGAGCGCGCAGGCCATCCGAGGAGCAGCCCATCGAACGCTCGCGGATTACCAATCGGCAGTTTGTTTGTTTATCATGCGCGGCGAATTCGCCAAATCTCCGTGCGGCGACGACCGCGCCTTGCCTAACCGATGAATATAAAAAAAAAATGTATAAATGGGTGTTGTGCGATATTCCATCTGCGCGTCGCTATAGGGGAGAGGCCCGGAAAATTGAATGAACGTGGAAGCTCGGTTGGATTTTTTGGCACCTTCTTCTTCAGAGGATTATAGATTTATATTCTATTTGTAAATAATATTTGTTTTGAATTTAAGCATTGAAGACAAAAACTTACTTAAGAAATTATTTACTTTCGTGCATTTTTAAATTGAATATTTAAGCAAAATTCTTGACCCGTTTTTCGCCTCAAATTTCATATTTTCCGAAACAAATATTTTATTTTACTCTACGCCACTCTAAGCATTATTTGACACAATGTGATTGTAACCGTTCAGCAAATAAACAACAAAAATCAACTGACAAATAGAAAAATTTAGGAAACAATAACCAAATAAAAAATTCAAATTTTAAATAACTTTTTAAAATATTTCTCTTCACAAAGAGAATTACTTTTTGGAGCATGAGGTCAATTTTGGAATATATATGTGTAATGTATTTGAAATTAAAATCAGTTTTATTTACTTCAGTGAATTAAAAAAAAAAATCATATTTAATATTAATTTCAATTAAGCATTTTCCCTGCTATTAATTTTTTTTTTAATTTACGTTTTCAATTAATTTACCTTGTGTCTATGACTGCAGCTATAGTATAATAAATTGCACCTTGTTTTTAATGAAAAAAATTCCCAAAAGGAACATCATGGTTCAATTCCTAAGAATAATTAATTGAATTATTAAACATGTTTATAACATTAGCTTCCCTTGAGGTTTTTTTAGTCGCTTTTGTTTCATGTTGCTTAGAAAAAACCCACTTCCTGCTTTGAACTTATGAATTATAATAAATCTTCTTTTTGATTAAATTTATAAAATTTATTTTTCAATGGTTATATTTAAAATAAACTCTAAAATTTTCTTTAAACCATAGAACTTCAATTATTTAATTAATTTATATTGAGATCTTTTCTTGCTTTTTCCATTAATGTTTTTTCCTATTCTGATCCTATTAATCGCATGAAATGACGTAAATCATAACGTGTGTATTTCCAAAGCGAGTTTTGTCACATATTTATCTAAAAATAATTTCCGATTCAACCAAGCGAAAGAGCGTCTTTTCTCCTACACGGTTGTTGTTGACAGTGACCGCGATTGAGGAAAATAACGAAAATTCCGGTGTCTGCTCTTCTCACCAATATCCCCACGCGTCACTTCCACGAAGCTCTCGCTTTTTATCAGCACCTTTATTATTTTCCTCTGCTCGACTGTTTTTATTTCTAGGCGAGGGCGAAAAGAGACGCCAATTAATTGTCCATATCAGTTCACGGCCCGGGGGCGCGAATAATTGCACATTCGGCAGTTGGAGAAAAGCAGGCGACGCGCGCGTTACTCATTTTTGTCCACTGTGCATTCTCGTTTCTATAGACGCTGCTTTTCTTTCGCGCTCCCCATTCTTCGCTCCGCGCACCGTGAAATAATACACTCGTCCGCGAATATATACTGACTGACTGGATTTGGTTTCGTGCGAACAGAATTACGGACTTGGATGAAGAAGAAAAAAAATCGAATAAACGGCGAGCTCACTCGCTTCCCTCTCTGCACATACACGCGGACTTGATGAGAGAAAAGTGAAAAACGTGCGCGGCACCGTGTGCACCGCCCGCCGTTGGTTATATACACATGAGGGAAAAAATCCAACGAACAAACGCAGACGCCAGCTAAAAAAGTTTAGTGGAAAAATATATACTGCTGATTGTTCTAGCAAACGCTTGGTTTCTATTTTTAGCACCCTTACAAGTTAATGAATATAATTGTGCAAAGTTGCAAGGCAAAACGGATCAGCGCATAAATAAAAGTAATAAAATCGATTTATATTTTCAATAAATTTTTTTGTAATTTTATTTACAAAGTTATTTACTTATTTTGTATGTAAGACGGGATGCTTTTTGTATAAATAAATACAATATTTCATTTAAAATCTCATTTACCAATTCTTCCGGATTTGATCGTTTCTTACACAGAATTTCCAAAGGAAGTTGTAGATAATAATACTAAAAGTGGCAACTTTTTCCGTTAGAGAGAGATATTCGATATCACAGATTCCTTCCCTTCCAGTATATCCTGAACTATCAATAGTGGTTGAAAATTATTAATTGAATAGAATATATAAAAAGGAATACTTTTTGAACATGAAATTAAAAATTATGAAAATTTAATTGAATATTTCTTAGATCTCCAAACGATTTTGTCAAATTTGAAGAAAAACTGAGAAAAACATTATGTAATTTGAACAGAATATTCTAAATTATGTACTGTCAGAATTAAGATTATTGAGTGCAAACTGCAAAAAAATAATTTTTTTATTTTTATCTAAAATATTATATTATCAACGATTTCACCAAAAACTGCTTTTTTTACTATACGCGACTTTGAGTTTTGGATTATTTAATATTCTACCTTTGAATTCAGATTTTAATTTAAATAAAAGTCGCTCTTCAATGTGTATACAATAAATTAAAATTTCTTTGTCCCGAATGTATAAAATTGTATAAACGACCTATCTCAAACGTAGATTCACTGGTCGAGCGTTGTTGTTATATTTGAAGCAATAGAGTTTAATCAAAGATGCTTATTTGTCTATCAAATTGAACTTGCGATTATCTAATTAAGCAGATAAGTCCTCGTGACGATGTCGTCGTCGCCCGCGCACGAGTGCATCAAACATTACGCAGCTGCAGCGCGAGAGTGATACAAAGTTTTGTAAATTTAAGTATGGCGCATGGACCCTTTAGATGGTGCACGAGATGAGGGCCGTTAATAGAGTAATCAGCCCCGAATTTGATGGGCTAATTGCGAAGTCGTTAAAAGAGCATTTGTGCACTGCGCATGATTCGTCTCGGAGCAGCAACATTGAATGCCAGAGAAAGAAAATAAAGGCGCTCTTCGTATAGAATATTATTTGAGACAAATAATACAAATTCGAGCGAGAAAAGATTTTGTTTGCCCGGCCGAGTTAAATAGATAAGTCTAATATTTGAAGTGGGAATTATATATGTATGTGACCGTTTAGGAGAGAGACAAAGGACTCATATTTTTCAAAGGAAAGGTTCCGATGATTAATATTTGCTGGAGACGCCACGGTTTTTTTTATAAATATAAAAAAATAAATGGCGCGATAGAGAAGACGAAAAAGAGGAGAGGAGGCTAGAGCAAGTGGGTCTCTCTTTTCTACTTGAAACTCAATATGCGGCTCTAAAATTACTTTTCAGCTGCGTGGCACATTCAAGCAGAATCTGAGGAATTAACTTCAGAGCCTCATCCATCCCCGCATGTGGCCTCCACAACCAGCCAGCTTGGCCTTCTCATCTGCGTTTCTTCACAGAATTCGTCAACTCGGCCGGCAATCGAACACATGCCGTGCGCCCAAATGGACTCTTCGGGCACATTACTCGCTAATGGCACCCTGATCTGCCCCCTCGGGCCGTAGGTGGAATTGGGCGAAACTGATTCAAGAGCAAGTAAGCGCGCGGCCGATTGATTTTAATGGGCCTAAACGGCACCCCGCGGGGCCGCAATTTGGAGACAAAAAGCTTCCAATGGCTTTTCAATGTAAAAGTAAATAATTTAATTCAAAAAATGTGAATGAAAAAAATTAGAAAGCCGTCAAGAATTTCATTATGGACTAAATGGACTCTAGCAGGAAGTTAAAAATTTTTGGGCAGTTGAAAAAGATGTGGAATTATTAAAAAAAAATCCTTAAAAAAATCTTCTAGCTGCATTCAAAATTTATTCCCTGTGACTATGAATTTCTGAAATTTTAAAAGAAAATAAAAAGATTAAAAAATTAATACTTCAAATACAAAAAAATATTTATACTTTTCTAGAAAATTCCAGGTTTTTAAATCCTCGTTTCTTTATATTAACTTAATTTTGTTTCAAATTAATAATTTATTTATTAGTTGTAATTTATAATATAATTGAGAATCTTTTAAAATTTAAAAATAAGTAGCAAGCGATTTAAAAAAAGGACTTGGAACTTATGAATTATTCAAATTTTAAACTTTTATAAAAAAATCCTTTTATCAATTTTCTTCAATCAATTGTGATGCCAAAATGATTAATGCCAATTAACATCATTGCCGATTCAAGCTCCGGTATGAGATAAGAAGCAGAGACCTTAGCCCATTTGAGCGAGTTATTTGTGCAGATAAAAATGACCGCGCAAAGACGCGTTCATTCTTGCCACTTTTCAACTCCACGCACATTACGAATAATTGCTCCAATAAAAGTTCTCCACTCAGCCGCAGGCCGTTTGTTTCGTTTTCAATTGTTCTGCAAATTCACATATAATTTTACGACCGATTGCTCTCAATTACCCAAAGCAAAACAGAAGCATAGCGAATATATGCGTGCAGAAACAACAAACGAAGATAATTAGAAGAGGAAAAGGGTTGTATAAATATCACTTTCGTAAATCAAAACAATCGCGAATTATAAAACATGCCGTGAGCAAAAGATAATTACCAATCGGCGTTTCCTTTTCTTGTCGTTCATGATGCTGCCGAGCAAGGAAGAGCGAGAAGATTCACCACCAGAAGCAAAACTGAACACACTCGGCCGATGTTCCAGGGGCGAATACTAATTAACCCAGAGGGACGCTATCGCGGCTGAGACATCGAGGAAAGGTCGGTCGAGCAACAGGTCTGGGGGAGATGCTGCCGCGCCGCGAGTGAGTGAGCGTGTGTTAGTATGCGGGGCACACAGCAGACACTGGCAAGCGACTTATGAATGGAAATAGCACCGCCTTGTTGCCAAGCCTCCTCCCACACCACTCCAGATGACAGACAAAGACCCCCTCCTGCTGACTGACTCGGTGCTGCTGCTGCTGTGAGATGCTACTCCAAAATACACACACAACATGCATAGCAGCAATGATAATAATCCCAATTATTCAGATCCCCTCTGCTCTGCTTTACTCCCTGCACCAACCGTTTGCATTATTTTTTTGTACACTCGTCGCTCTAATGGCTCCAAACGACGAGCACCAGCACCAGCAGCTCCAATTGGCATTTCGAAATCAGATGGAGCGGCAAACGAACAAGCCTTTTTGGTTCAACTCGCGGGGGATGCTTTTCTTTTAATCTCATTTTTTTCTATTTTGGGGTTGCTTTGTTTCCTTTGAACTGCGCCGAAATTAATTTGTTTCGGGTCTATTTTTAAGATTTGACTTTGAAAGGGAAATCCGTTGACTAAGAAAACACAAAGCGTACAAAAGTATGGTATAATTTTAACACTTATAAAATGAAGGAAGGGTTATGGCATGGAGTCAATATAACTTGGATGGAGAGATGAAATTAGAACAAAAAATACAAGGAAAGAAATTTGGTTTATAAATATGGATATTAAAAAAGTTATCATTTTAATGTCTTTATTATAAGAAACAAAGCTCATTATTATATTTTAAAATTTTAATTCGGGTAAATATTTTCTATTCATTGACTTAAATCTTTGAAGTATTTCTCAAATTAACTCATGTTTTTGCCCAAAGCATATTATATTGGGGTGGGTATAGGGTTCAATTTTCCGATAATCCAAACCAAATTTAGAGCGAAATTTGTTTGTATTTATTTCTTTCCAACAATAAAATAGCTATATTCTCTCCCAATAAATTAATTCCATTATTTTGAGATTTAAACATGATTTTTAAAATAGTATAGTCTAAGAATAAGGAATAATCAAAATATTGAAATTTATTTCTATTAATTACAAATTTACTTAGAATTTAATTAAGTTTGGATTTAATTTAGCCTCTCCCCTGTGATACAGAATAACAGTTCAAAAAATCACCGCTCTCTCTCAATACTCGATCCTTCCCGCAGGCATAGCAACACAGTGTCTTATTTTTTGCTGACACAATGCAAAAATAAACCCCCTTCGACCTTTCAACTCTCCAAGCTCCGAGAGCAGTCGAGGCAGCCAGCAAGCAAAATAAACCGGTGCCAATACCTTTCATCGACCTCTAAGCTTGCTTGCTACTCTCATTCATCTCCGAAATCATTGATACAGACGAGCTCCGCTACTTTTCTCTCTCTCTTTCTTTCTTCAGACTCGCCCATTTCAAGCACATACAGAGAGCGCGGCCGTAAACGCGGCGGCGTCTCTTCATGACAGAGCAGTGTAATCGCTATTTCGGTAGCTCTCGGCAGCAGCACTAGTAGTCAGTCAGTCGCTCTCAATTAGAGATGCTTCGAGGGAAAAAACGCGAGCCGCGCGACGCGTCATAAAAAATTATACACCAAAGAAGAGTTCGAGCGAGAGTCTCTCTCTCTCTCGCGAGCCGCGGAGATTCGGGGAAGAACTTAGCGAGTAAAAAGTTGTTTGGTACAAATTAAAAGCTGTTAGGAATGCTGAGACAAACTAATGACTTTTGTGTGCATGGCTAAAAATGAATGGATCAGCCCCCTTATTTCTATCTATAAGTGCGAGCGAGCGGTGAAAAATATATTCTGCGCCGGGGACGTGGAAGATTTAAGAGCAGCCTTTTGAACTCAAACGAGAGCTTTTTGTCGCCGCAGCAGCAGACAAGTGCCGAGAGACTTTAAAAACGTAAATTATTTCGAAGAGAGAAAAACAAGTTTTTGGCACAAAATTCAGGCGCAGAGAAAAAGTGGCGAATACTTTATCCAACAATATGATGTGAAAATTAAAAAAAATCTAAAATTCGCTTACAATTAGCAATTAACTTTGAAATACAAATTATTTGTTTTTATTTTTAATTTGGATTTAAGTTTAATTTTTTTTTAAGTTTCTTCCTTAAATTAATTAAATTACTGTAAATTTTTGTCCGTTTCAATTTGTGCTCCAAATAAATTGGATTTTTTATTGCACTTGAAAGTCGAAATCCAGTTTGGCTTCAATGATGACACTCATCATAATTATAGCCATCGCAGACATGAAGCGGCAGCACCAAGGCCTACTTTTGATAACAGAGCTATCAAAAAGTGAGCAGAAAAAGTGCGCGTCCAGTTACTCGCTCATGCAACAGGTTTTCCTCTCTCGCGCGCGGGGCGTGCAGAATTAAGAGAGACCTTTCACCCATTTGCTTTCGGCTCTCGATTTAATATGTGTAATTTTTTCCACTCGGTTTGAGCGGATTTCTCACAGCGTTCCAACCAGAGACGAATACAAATTCGAGTTAGCGTTCGTCGCTTTTCTGCTTGGCAACCACGCAACCGAATCTATATATTCCCCCTTGCTGCACCCTGAGCTCATGTTTCAGAGGAAGCGGTCGTCAGGTGTGCCCATCTCAAGTGTCAGATCGGGGTGGTTCCCACAGGGCTATATGGGCCACCGAATGCTGGTTTCCAAACCAGCAGCAGCTCGGTTATATAGAACTTTACTGCTGCTCATATTCATTATCAAATCTGATATAAACAGAAGAAAAAAACGCATCTCGACAAAGTTTCTAAAAAATAAAAAGAATACTCACCAGCACACGGCGCTTCTTGAAATCTGCGAAGCCCCGATCCATGTAGAAGTCGTCCTCGTCCGGCACAAAGTAGCCGTCGTTGATATCTGGACACACTGCTTTGGCCATTTCCAGCACCTGTTATCAACAGAAAAAAATGAATGATTAAAAAAAGATGGCTTGTTGGTAATTCGTGAAGTCCCCCCTTTTGCATGTCAATATAAAAACTTGGCAGCTTTTTGCTCCATGCAAGTTTGGCCCTATTTTTGTTCTAATAATTTTATTTATTTTGATGATAGTCAAGCACTTTTCAATTAGAGTTTTTCGCAGTTTTTTTGAGGAGTATAAAAATATTTTTATGTGTAATTTTGTTTTATTTAAAAATGGTAACTCATATTGTTAAAAAAAATATGTAAATGTATTTTTTAACATCACTCCATGAATTCTCAATTTGAATTGCCTACCATCAATAAATTTTTTTAATTAATAAAATTGTATTATTAATCATTACTTTATTTCTTTTTTTTTTAGAGAATATATTCTTATCATGATATGAATTTATCTCAAAATAAAGTTTAAATTTTACCCCATATTTATAAATATTATTAAACATCAATAAATAAAAAATGGTCACTAAAAAGGATCATAAAAGTTATGCACTTCAACAAAAAAGCTGTAAAACACGCGCACATTATCACCTATTATGGTGCTTGTAAATTTTTGGCTACCCAGCAATAATACTGCTACTTTCAAGTTATATGGTGGCTCCTGTCTGGCCCCTGGTCATAAAATGCAAACGTTTTTTTTCTATCCTCAACCGTCGCAAATGCACCCAAGGAACGCGTTGGATGTAAGAAAAGAGCAAAGAATGAATGGGCCGTGCATCTTCCTCTTTGAAGGGCTCTTTATTGCACCTGAGTTTTTTCGGTAGCACACAATTGAGTGGCCATAAAGTTTAAAAGGGGCCATTCTCAGGACATTAGTCACCTTTGTCGACAGCATCCCTATCCCTGGGAATTTTGAGCGAGGCGTGCGTAGACCTGTTTCTTTCCCACTTGGAACCCATGTAAGAAGTTAAGAGGAAAGCTATTGGATTAAGAAGGGTGTGAATGCAACTACCCCGCAAAGAGAAATAAATTTTTGGTCATTTTTTTTTATAAATTTATAATTATTGAAATTAATGATTATTTTGCTCCTATTACTTATTTAATACTTTCTTATTTTAAAAATTTAGTCCTAAAATGTTATTGTTAAAAATTTCTACATACGCAATGATTTTGATTTCGTTTTACATTGCAATTTATGATAGGGTGATATACGAACAAGTACACATAAGTTAATTATAGTCCAACCATTGGCTAAATAAATTTGACATGGACTGTATATTTTTTTTTCATTTTAAAGAATTAAGAATTTATATGTTTTACCATTTATTGAATTATAATATTTACTTAACCTTTTTGCTCTTCATCAATGTGAAAAAATCCCAGCATAAAATATAAATTTATAAAGCATTTTTGCCAATGGCTAATGGCAGAGTATTTCTTATTTTTTAATGTAAAAGCAAAGCGGGAAATTAAAATTTTCTGTTTGATTATTATTCTGAAACTTTCGTGTATAAAAATGAAAAAATATAAAAGACTCATTTTTTTGTCCCACGTCCGTCAAAGGGTACAAAATTGGTCTATTTTTAGAGCCTGAACAATTTCACCCGCTCAATAGCACCTTTCGTTGAAATTTCCTGAATCGCCGCGATATATAATATAGCACGCATACAATGACCTTTAGTGTGGGAAAATTTGGTCCATTTGGGGGAGAATCGGAGCGCAAACAAACGTCTCTCGTCGAGAGAGATGAGAAGAAGCAAAATTGATTTCACCCCCCCGAAAACAGTACGGTTCAGATTTTCCCATCGGCAACCCTGCAACAGCCCAAAAAGGGTGGGAGAAGATGTGCCTGCCGACAGGTGCGTCGGTCGCTTCGACCTGCCTGCTCTGTTTGCCAGCTGTCTTGAGTCTTCGCAGCATCCACCGCTGCTTCTGGGAAACAGCGATATATTGACCTCCGAGAGCAGCCGCCGCCGAATATGGTCGCGCGGTTTTTCGAGCTGCACTCAATGAGCTGCACTTGTTCCGAATGCATAATCGGCCCCTTTGTTCGCTTCATCTGATACACACAACACACGCGCGATTTAAAACGCGACCCGTGACGAGATTGCCGACGGATCAAAAAAAAATATGTAAAAAATGCGTGCTCCGATTTTTGGCACGTTTGGTGTTTCCAATACAATGAGAGCCCTCAGCTTGTTAAAAGCCCTGGTTGTTTCTAAGCAAAACTTGCCTGTGTATCATAAATCAGTGTTAAACTCAACTCTTGAATTCACAAGCCACGATTTCTGTTTTTGCTTTTTTTATACATCAGCAGGAAATCAGATCAAATATACCACATATATATATCATATATAAAAAAAGAAAAAAATGCGCCATGTTGTGTTATAATTTATTAAATTAGACCAAAATATAAAATATCAGTTTTTATTTAACAAAATAATTTGAATACTATGTAAAAGTCAAACTGATTAATATTTGATAAATTGAGTTCAAAATTACTTATTATATAAAATAAAAACATGCTATGAGTTTAAATTTTCTTAAATTCTTCTTCTTTTTTGCAGACGTATGAGACTATTTTTCGTTCGAGAGTTTTTTTTTTAAACCAGCAACGAGACCAAAGAAAGGTAACTCGTTTTGAAGCGAGTTAAGAGGTGGAATTAATTGTGGAAGATGAAATTTGTAAAAATTAAAAGATGCAGAAATTAAATTTGTATCTCTAAGAGGCCAATTTTATTTTGCATACAATTTCATTGTGTTGCAAAATTTACTATTTGTGGTATGTACTTTCCCTATATGGAGCTTATTGTTAGTGAAATAAGAGGAATCATTTATTGAAACAAGATATTTGAAATTTTTAAACAATTATTGAAAAAAATGTAATTTCAGTTAAAAATGTAAAATATATTGATTATGTGTTATAATATTTTGTTTACAATAAATGCGGACAAATGTTAAAACTCTCATGATTAATAATTTGATAATCATTAAAGTATTAATTCCTATTTATAATCATATAATAACAAAACAACTATTGATGATCTTTGAGCAAATAATTTTTTTTGTTTTTAAATAAATATTTTCACTCTTTGGCCAGATAAGATTAAGCTTTGAGCTCTAACAATAAATGTAATTATTAAGACCATTTAATTAAATTAATTGATTTTAATCCCATCAATTGACAAGCTGAAGTTCAAATATTATGTGACAATTTTTGTATTATTCAAATTATTCAGACACAATGTCTTTGTTTATTTCAATATTATTGTTGTCTGATTAATAACAGCTTTTATTTTTAATTAGCATGAACTTTAAACACCTCAAAGGCTAATTGAATTAAATGTTCTCATTGCGACGAATTAGTTACAGTAAAAGCGACGGAAATTCGCCCTTTTAAAGTGATGAATGGTCGGCGTGAGAACGAGAAAAATCACCCTCTCGGCGAATGTTCGGAAGGGCTGCTGGGAAAAATCTGTCTGCCGTTGTCGCATTTAACGCAAACAACGCCTGCTTGCGGCCGGGTGGTGCATTTGGAAACATTTTAATTAAAAAAATAAGCCGTCCGTGTGCTGGCGAGGGCTGCTGCACGGCGGAGCTGCGTGATTTATTATCGCACGGCCTCAACTTTCCTCCTAGGGCTTTTTTGCCGCTGAAGTGTTTCATATGGTGGTGGGTTGGAGGGTATTTTTTTCTCATTTAATTTTAAGGTTGAGCATCATCTCATCTCGGTGCAGCAGCCGATCCCCTCCCTCGCTCGCTCTCTCGCTTTATTATTTTGGTCCACCCCCATGTGCTCTTTTTCAAGGACATTCTCAGAGATCTCGTACCATAAAAAAGCCATTCATAAAGGCTGGCGGCGTTGCCGTTGCTCGCTGTGCAGCTGAAAAACCAGCAACGACCGAGAGGAGCAAAGTCCGCTGATGTAATGAATTAATTTCAATTTGAATGCGCGCGACACTCGATGTAAAATTTGCATGCATCAGCAATAAGAGAATTGTGTTGAAATGAAAACGCGTCGCATATTGTAATAAATTTATTTAAATGTATGTGCATTTGATCGAAGCACAATAATTTATAATAACTCTCTCGGTCTATTTTAATTTATAGGTCGGAGTAGGACGATTAGAAACGGTGCCAAATTTGATTCGAGGCCAACGACGGTGCCGTTGGCCCTTTTGCAAATATGTTTCAGTCAACTTTTTGCGCACGAAATTTTCGGCTGAAAAAAAAAACAGCAGCAACAGGTGCCGGACGGAGGGGAAGGATTGGAGGGTTTCGAACTCACCTTTAGCTCCGGTTGCCCTGTCGTCGGTCGCAGAGCGTCCTCCTGTGAACCCGGCGACTGGAATTGGGCTCGCAATTTGCTTAATATTTAAATTGCGGCCAATTACTTGCGTGTGTTCAGTGTGTCCTGTTCGTTTGCTGCGGTCCTCTTCTGCCCCTCTGCACAGATTTATTATTTTTTAAATTGAGGTAACCACCGCGGAGACGCGCCACCTGTCGCGGAGAGGCCAAAGGTATGGTTTGTCAAAAGGAATTTTTAGCCTTACGAATCGTGCATCTAGTGGAGGAAGTCGCAACAAGTTTCTTGTCTCCCGCTTTGTAACTTTTTAAAGTCACCACTTGATGGCGTGCCTGAGGTGTACCTAAAGGAGCAAGGAATTTTTCACTTACATCCTCTTCATCTTCATGTAACTGAACTAAAATTTAATAAAAAAATTGAAATAATTTATACTTCAAACAAAAAAGCTCATCAAATGCGATTAAAATTTAGTTTCGTGTTGTAATTTTGACAAATCTTTTAGCTCCTAACCTTACGCTTCTGTTCATTAAAATTCCAACTTGACAAACTTTTATATTTCCCTTTTTAATTAAATAATTTTAATTTTTAAATAATTTAGTGTATTTAAATCTCCAATAACAATTTAAACTTATCTTAACATTAATTCATAAGAATTATTTTGAATTTTAACATTTTTTTCTCTAATTGCAGGTGGTAAAATCCATCACGTTGGCACCCATTCAAGTCTAGCACAACATTGAACAATATTTTGCTGCGGCAGTCAAAGAACTCGAGGAGAACTTGAAAACTTTCCGTCTTTTCCGCGGAAAAGCGTGCAGGCAGGGTAATGCGGAGGACAGCCCTGGTGTTGTGCCTCGGGTTGAGCCTGGCCCTGGGCGAGGACTACGAGGTGGACTGCGGCACCCTGCGAATGGGCCAGTACATCTGTCCCGATCCGTCCATCGACCACATCGATCCGCAGACCCAGCAGCCCCGCAACTGTACCAAAGAAAATAAGGCCCTCGGTACGTGCCAGTCGCGGAAAGTTCGCTCTATTCAATTCTTTATTCACGCAGTCCGACTCGGAGAAAATTTTTATCGATTCGTACTGCGTCAAAATGATTAATGAGCTGTTCCTGCAGAGGAACTGAATTGTTCATGGTTTTCAAATTTGCCTGTGCCACACGAGCCACCGATCAGCCTGTTTTTATTCTGATTGGGAGGCAACAGCTTGTTATTATTGACGGATTTGAATGCAAATTAGACTAACATGTTCGGATATTGAAATATTCTTCGTTAATAAATTTCATCTATAAAAGCAACAAATTGTGACTGATGTTGTATATTTTAATTTCACAACAAATAGTAAAAGGTAATGGTACGTATATGAAGCAATTAAAAGTTCCAATTAACATTCAGTTGGCTCAGAAATTTGACATTATTTTTAATTTATTTTCAAAATTTCCCTTCTCATTTAAATTTGTGCAAAAATAATGTATTCTGTTTGAAGTTTAAAAAAATTAACCAAAACGAAATCCTGTCAGACTCAAAGATAAATTATTCATTGTCTGATGCCTTCATTAAAATTTCAGTTGCCTGCAGAGCTGCGCCCGGTATAAGATGCAAAGAGACCAACGGCTCTACTTTCATGCGGGACATTCCCTGCGAGTGGACGTGAGTTTGCACAATATTGACTTTCCTCCTTGCCTTGCCTCATTTTTTGGCAACCGGCACTGCGAAAATTACGTATAAATGAATCACCTTAAAATAAAAATGATTCATTTAATAACATTCTAAACTAATTATAAAAAAATATGAAAAAATTTTGTTCTCAAAAATTTATTTGTACTAACAAGCCTAATGTAAATTTAAACTGAAAACTATGAATAATTATGGTGTTTAATAGGATGTTTGAATTTACGGAACAAATTTTCATATTTAGGCCTGGTTTTCTTAAAAGTTTAAAAATACATTTCATTTAATTAAAGTAAACACAACAGAGTAACAATTATACTAATTTATATTTAAAAAAAAAAATTATATAAAATCAAAATTCTTCTTCCAAGTGTTAAATATTTTTTTCTTCTAATTGTTTGCATCTTTTTCAGAAATGGCTATTCCTTTGAGACGGCACTTTTATTATCGGTGTTTTTGGGAATGTTTGGCGCCGACCGCTTCTACCTGGGCTACCCTGCCCTCGGACTGCTCAAACTAAGCACGCTGGGCTTTCTGTTCCTCGGCCAGCTGGTGGACGTGCTGCTGATCGCCACGCAGGCCGTGGGTCCAGCCGACGGGTCTGCGTATGTTATGCCCTACTTCGGGCCCAAAGTGATCTCAATCCGAGTCGACAACAGCACATTCAAATTGCCCCAAGAAGACTGGCCCTAGAGTTGCTGCTAATCCATGTGTATCGAGAACTGCTCTGTGCGAAATTAGCGGCCGCCGTCGTCTTGTCCAGCACAATAAATCAACTTTTATTCAATTTCACTAGCAAAGCGCTTCTGAAGATATGTGCAATTCTGTATCAGAGCTACTAAGCACGAATACCCGATTTTAAAGTGGGCTTGTCTTTTGGTTCCTTCTTTAAATTTTGTCAGGACATAACATGCAAATAATTTTTCTTAGTTAGTCAAAGCTTTGGTGTATCCGATCATGTGTGTTAGTTAGCAAATTACCTGTACAAAACTCAGAATGATAAATTCACGCAAAATATCGACCTGGAAAGTCTTAGGTTAGAACTTAGAGGCTGCCTTAAGAGCAAAATTCGGAAAAGCTCTTGACGAATAATAACGAAGTTAAAATAAAAATTGACGTCCCGCGCGCTGATTGAGGCTTTGTTCCTTTTTGTATGGCAAGAGCATTATTAACAGGTATGATGATTGACTGCATTGCAGCACTATAATAATTATTTTGCTGCGTTTTATATTTTTATCGCTTTTGTATGAAAAATAATGTGAAATAAAGGAAAACTGGTCAATGTTGAGATGAGAGAAAAGTGTTTCTTTTTATAAGTAGCCGGCCAGTCCAAGGAGAACAATCGCATTCTTATCATGAGCTAATAAGTGGGTCTAGTTGTGGAGAGAAAGCGGCATTGACCTTGCAATTGCATTATGCGTGTTTGTGTGATCTACTGACTGGCCGCTTCCTCGTCGTGCGCCTCTGATTCAACGCTAGGAGAGTGTGCGCTGAATTTGCAAAAACCGCCGCACACTTTCAAAGGCCGGCCTGGCAAACCCAGAAGGTGTGAATGAACCGCAAGGAAGCGAGCTTCAAAAAGGAAGTTGTCAAAAGAAAAAAATATGGAAATGCCTTGAAGAGAAACAAAAGGCGACAAATCTGAAAGTGTGAAATGACATTATTCATTTTTTATAAAATATAATATACATATTTTTAAGTGACACGTTCCAGATACAAAATCACAAAGGAGGAAAAAATACAGAGCATATATCCTAATTAGAACTATTTTGATTTCACTTCAAGAGCATCAAAATAATAATTTTTTTCCTGAATTATGATGCTGAAAAAAAAATGGATTTAAATTCCTTACAAACTTTTAGTGTTTCTTTTTAAAGATAGCACTCAAAAATTGAACATAAGATGTAATATTTATAGAAGAAAGGAAAGATAGGAGAATGAATAAATAAAATGCCATTGCATGGTATTGATGGCATTACGTGCAAACTAATTTTGATTTAATCAAAATTTAATAATATGTATGATATAATAACTATTTGAAGAATTTCAAATAATTTTTTATTTAAAACATTAATAAATATTTTTTAATAAATAATAATTTTTTGGTTCTTTCATAAATATTAATTTTTCATATTAATATTTAATCGTAGATTGTTTTGCTTTTTTATTTCAATGTCATAATTTTAAACAATTTTTTCCCTAAAAACTTTGAAGGCGAATATAATCTCAAATAAATCTTTCAGGAAATGTATAATTTCAAAAGAAAGAAAATTGAGAAACAAATAATTATCAATTATTTATTACATTTGCTTCCTTTAATCGTATTTAGGTTATATATCCACTTTTCACGCTCAATTTGTGGGCGTAATACCGGCAATACCTTATTTTCTCGGTGCTGTCTGTGATTACAATTCTGACATGTATAGTGAAATTGACCCATTGCACATTTACGTATATGCGCACAATGATAATCAATCAATATCAATCCGACCGCTAGGAATAAACGCGACCGTAAAAAACCAACACGGTCTACGAAGGAAGAAGCGGAATTCATAATGCGCTCGCGAACGCCTTAATCATCGAGGTAAGGAGGAAACTGGTGCTCGAATTAAACACGGTGAATCTCACTTATGGCAAGCGTTTGGAAAGTAATCGGAGAGAATTTCACCTGTCGACCCCTATCGCGGCGCGGCATGCATTGAAATGCCGCGCCGGTCAGCTAGCATAGGGACGTGCTCGCGCGGCCAACAACAGGTGCGCGAGAATGTGAGCAGAATTCGGCCCGAATAAAAAATAAGAACCAGGGTAGAAATTCATTTACATAATGTTTGTGAGCTGCTTGGCACGAATTTTGGCCTTTTCACTGTCTCATGAGTCTCATGACACGAGTCGTCGAAAACAGGATAGAAATTTTGTTATTTATGACGACGGTCGCCTATCAATCGTTTGCCTGCTTTGGCGCTGAGTATAATTGCACACGTGTTTAAGTAGCAAAGGTGAGCAAAGGCACTCTGTGTTGACCCACTCCATAAATAAGTGATGGTATAGATTTCTTTGTATTCCATAAAGGAGCAAATAATTAAATAACACGTTAAAAGGTTTTTAATAATTATTGTAGATGAGATTTATTGAAATTTTGTGTGTATTTGAAGCTTTAATGAAAGAAAAAAATTATCAAAACCAATTTAACCATTTCATCTAAACAAAATTTTGAAAATTTTCTATCTGAAAGTTTTTAATCACTCATTAAGTTAATTCTAAAAACTTCAAATTTTCCACATTTTCATTACAGATAAAAAGTAAATTAATTTTTAAAATAATTGGGTCATAATATGCATACTATGCAGTAAATTAATGTGGAAAAATGTAGCTTTCAAGATTTCGGCCAGCTTTTGAATGAGTGATAAATTTATAAAAGTAATTTAATTAAGTTTTACATTTAATTGATTTAATACCTAATTTTATTACCTTCAGATTATAATGTAATTTCGCAGTTAGTTTTACACTTTTAGCTTTTTTTGAAGTTTTTGATGTAATATTAAAGTGTAGATATTGCTTTGCAAATTAATTAAGCCTCCTTAAATTAACCTCTTCAATGGCAGTGGTGATAAAAATTATAATGAATGTTATCTAAATCTGATTTGACAAAATAATAAATACACGACCAAGTAAAGAATAAAAAATAAAGTGTATTTTACGTAGCATTGCTAATTGTTGCCGAGCAACAGCGCATGCAAATGGATTATTAGATCAAGTAGCAGGTGTTAAAATGTTCCTAATTTAGTTAATTTACTACTGATGAACCTATAAAAAGTAAAAGCTTTGTATGTTTTGTAACACGCAAATTTAAATCAGGAAAGCCACTGATGCCATTGTCTTTTTATTTACGTAAAAAAAATACATATAATGCTGCTTTATACCAGAAAAAGGCGATTTCCTTGTGCACGCTTTTCTTCGCGGCGATTTTCCTGTACAATTTTAGCGAGTTTCTGATCGTGAGAGTGCTAAAAATTTGAGCTATCTGTCTGAGCAAACGAGGTGAAAACTTCACTGTCCAATAAGATTTCTAAAATCGTGCGTTGACGAGCAGCTTCCGATTTTTATCTCCGAAGGATTTTATAATTTTGTTCGCCCTGCAGGGTCATTCTCGTAAAACTTTATTATGCGAAAATCAACTTTGCCCGGCGGCTTGTGTGTTTAATTTGCCACTCGCGACGAGAGGAAAGTAAAAAAAAAAGATGCGTGGTGCACGTTTAAAGTCGTCTGACTGCGTGTGTAATTATATCCAAAAGTATGAGTTGTTGAGATCGTTATCGCCCAAGAGTAATTCTATGCCTGGCGTATTTTTTGGAAACACACACCACGTCTTTCACTTTTCAAACATTAAAAATGATTGAAACACTAGTCTTTTGATTCGATAATTCGCATAATTTTGTTAAAATAAGTTCCATCTTGGCAGTAAGATATAAAAATCTCTTTCAATCTATCAATTTCACTTTCAGACGAAAGAGAGAAACAAATTTTTACAGCCTGCTTTAAAGCAATTTTATTTAAAAATCAATTACTCCAATTTCTTAGCGCCTTTTTACAATTCCTAATTGGAGAGGTGTCTACTAATTCGCAAAAAATTCAACTTTCTCTGCCAGAACAGGTCCATTAAACGGAAGCAAAAGAGACCACCGCCGCAGTTGCACTCGCTTTTTTTCGCTTGCGCCAGATCAAATAAATTCTCCTCTCAAGATCGTTCGCCCCGAGCTGGCGGAAACAAGAAGGAGTCGTTGTTACTTCGCAAAAACACACGCGGAAAAAATTATACACATGCATGAGATGCTCCCCAAAGCGAGAAAGGTGCAATTATGTAAGGGAATATGTTTTAAATACGTGACTGCGAGCAATACAAGTGAGGAATCGCTTCTTGAATCGTCTTCACTGCACGTATGTGTATCTAAATGAGCAAGTTAGGGCAAGGCCCCTACTCCTGCGCTACTTTCTTCGCATCGGAGAAAGAAGAAGACTCTGCTTCTTCTAACCCAGTCAGTCGCGTCGCAGACACTCGCGAAAAAACACACCGAGTTTGCCGCCACCACACTCCACGTCCCAAGCAGGCTCATGTCTTCATGAGGTCAGTAATGTTCATTTATTTTTCATATTTAGTGAATTTTCAGATACCAAAGGGATAATTAGTAATTATTTTTTACAATTGAAAAATATTTAGTGAGATTTTTCTGCAGATCACATAAGGTACAGGAGCAATTTCTCTTTAGGATTGTCGCACACTCGAGTGCGTCTACACTTAATTTTTACAAAGGACTAATTAAAAAGGAACTTGGTGACATTTGTGTTCTCTTGACAATGGCCTTTTTCTAAGAATTAAAACAATATTTAGAGAATACTACTTTTTTTCCTCGCTTTTTGTTCCAGAAATTAGCTTTAAAAAAATGCTATTTCATTTACGAGGGACTCTGTTTTAGATTTAATACGCTCTGGTGAAGAACGGTTTTAAAATTTTGTCATGTAAAAAAGTTACTATTGTCTTAGAAACAAACATTTAAAATTATCATTTATTCTTCTCGTTCATTTACAAAAAATTTTAATGACAATGTAGGAAAAGAGCTTTGCCTTTTACTTTTATGACATTTAGATAAAAATTTTATATGAGGAATTATGCTCAAAATGAATAAAAGTTAAAAAGCACTCACAGGGTCAAGTTTGTAAGCCAGTCAAGATTAATTACAGGCGTTATATTTATGACACGATAAGAGCTCCACGTTTTTGTTTTAAGTCTTAACCTTAATTATTGCAATTATTCAGGAATTTGTATCACAAGAATTTACTAAGAAAACTTTCCTTTAATATTTTTATAAAATGGTAATTAATTTAATTAAATCCTTTTAAAGCCATAACCAATAATTATGAAAAATGCTTTTGCTAATTCAACGGCATTTCTTCTTAATATTTTTTAAGTCAAATTAGCACTGGCTTCCGCACAGAAGCGAGGATTGTGGTTTTCTTAGCACGCCAGTACATAAAAAGAGTAATCTTCTCTCAGCTGATGAGGCCGATTATCCCCCGAGGAAAGTTCGTGTGTTTGTGTATAATCATCAAAAAATATAATAAACCCGTCTGATTCGCGCTCTCGCAGTCTCTTTTCTCCTCTTGTGTATTTTCTCTCTTTCTTTCTCTCTCCGTTCATCAGCACTTTTCGCGTCTACAAATGAGAGAAACTTGTAATAGGCGCGCGCCAGCTGTCGGCCGAAGATGCTCCGGCGGCGCATCGAGATTACATGTGGCCGCAGAGGAAGCGCGATATTATTATTACGATGGTGATTATTGTATATCAAAGCAGGTTAAATACTCCACTTCCTAGCTTGGCCTTGTTCTTCTGCTCGAGCGCGCGCCGCCTTTAAAAAGTGAAAGAGTGGCGCCGGAAACTGCAGCACCACTTTATACACTAATTGATTTTTTAAATAATGTACATGCACAATTATAAGACACAGCCCAGTTAATTCTCTGCCGAATGTCCACAGTGGCCGTCTGCACACGCGAAAGGGACAGCCATGAGGAAATCGCCAAACCTGCCGTCGTCGCTGTTGGGTATGAAAATTTTAATTTATTCAAATATTTATTTTTACGAGACCGTCATCAACCGGTTCATCAGTTTCTCCCGCTCTATAATCCATTAATCCATTGAGATGATAGAAAGTGATTTGTTAAATATCTTGTAGTTTTACATTTTGGCCATTAATCAGTGAAAAGAAACACCAGAGTGAAAAAGTAAAAGCAGACCTCTTCACCTCATTGGAGACTTCAATGACCGAAAAAATTTTATTTTTTGACATGTAGTGATCAAGTTGTTCTTCTTCTAAAATTATTATTTATTTTAGTGAAGCTGAGCAGTTGAAAAGCTTGAAATTATATTTCGGCTTTCATATTCTCAGAAGTTAAAAATAATGACCAATAATTGGCCTTTTACGATTATTTGTGTCCTAGTCTTACAGCTGTATTCAAAGCAATATTTTTCGCTTTTAATCAAGAAAACCGACCATCAGGACCGGTGATTTGCACTTTCTAAAAGATTGCATTTTCGTTTCACGCCATATGTGTCTGACCGCACTTTTTTCCCTTGTTAAGAACTATTAATGAAAAGAGCAAACGCGACGGGAGAGATATATTAATTCGAGATAAATTTTCACCACTTGCCCTCGATAGCTAATAAAAGAAGGCGAATTTGCTTGTCCGCAGGTCTGCTGACCCTGAGCTGCATCCTGCTGGCCACTTGCAGCCAAGCCAGGAGGATCTCCCACAGGCATGACGTCGGTCCGGTAGGTGCCTCGATTGAACGCAAGTAGCGCGGAAATTCACCAAATGACCCAGAAGCGCATTTTTAATTTCGGCACGACAACTCGTAATCGATCAAGCAAGGATTTCAAAAACAAATAAACGAGAAACAAACCGTGCAAATGGCTCATTTGACTAACTTTTTTCAAAGCGGGAAATTGGAACGCTCATTATGTGTGGCTGGTGCTTGACTGGTGATGCATCTCAAGCGAGAGTCGTGCACTCTCTTATCTTGATGACTGCCTGCGCCGCGTGTTTTACTTTAATGCACACTTGAGTTCGCGCGACGAGTTTTCGTTTATTTCCTCGGATGCGAGAGCGAAAGAGAGATGCACAGCTTTAATCGCACTTGTATGATCTCGATTTCACTATTATTTTAGACAGTTCCAACAAAATGTGCGTTTAAATAATTTTTCTTTACAATTAGGGCCAAACTTGAAATATTTATTTTTGCTTTCTCGGTAAGCTTGCACAATAAATTGAAATAAATGGTTTCATTAAATATAAAAAAGTGCAAGTTTCTAATTTCATTTTTTTTTATTTTTTTTAATAAAAAGAGAATATAATTTTTTTAATTTTTTTTTTCATTTAAACTAAATTTCACTTTTAAAATCCTGTTAGATTTTCATGCAAATTTAATACATTATGAGATAGTTAACATTTTCAAATGCGTTCAGTTATATAGCGTTAAAGTTTAACAAGCTGCAAAAATTAATATTGTAAAATTAATAACAAACAAATTATGTAACCAAGGTAAACACACAAGTTAATTTTAATTTGCGGGCTAAAATTTTTAAGAGACATGTACAAACTCCTATTATTAATTAAAATTACAAATATACAAAACATTTGAAATTAAACAACATCAATAAATAAAAGACGAGCATTAAAAACTATTTAAACTTATTTCTATAGGCAACTTTTTGCATTTGATTGTTAAAATTGTCTACATTTCTCTCTTTAACACTAAAATTGATCCAGTTTTTTAAACATATCTTCTAATAATTTGTTTAACTTTCAGCCACAAGAAACGTTAGACACTGGTGGCTGGCGACCAGTCGTCGAGAGTGGTCGACCCCAGCTAGAACAAGTGGCCGTCGCTCCGACTGGTTACGACGGAGACGCAGACCTCGTTCCTCCTCCGCGCAGGAACAATGCCGGCGCCAAAAAGCCGCGTCCCGGACTTAAGCCCTCCGCTTCTGAGATCCGCTCTTCGACCGCTTACACCCTGCCTCCCCCCTCCGGTTCCAGCACCGTCCGGTTCCCCGGAGACCAGGCCAGACGACCTACTCGAAAACGCCAACGCCCCGGTCCAGTGCACCTGAGGCCCTACCTGGCCCAGGAGAGTGCCCAGCATTTGCGATTCCGACCTTCGCCGCCAGCCCCGGACAACTTTTGGCCCGAACCTACCGAGCCGTCCGTGTCCTTCTTCACGCCCCAACACTATAACGAAGGCCCTCTGCAATTGTCCATCTCTCCTCATGAGCAGCACCAGTTGATCAGCACGCAGCAAGTCTTCGGCAATCCGGCCCTTTTCAATTTGGAGCAGCCCATTCGCCGGCCGCAGGACAACGCCTTCCTCGAGCCGTCCATCCACGAAAATGAGGTTGTTGACAACGTGCCCAAGTATCAGATAACCGAGCCGTCGCCGCCACCTCCACGCAGGAGGAGGCCGAAACCTCCGCCGCCGACCGAGGAGACGCCGCTGATCGAGCCCGAGATGCACCGAAGCCCCGAAGTCCACGAAGCTCCGGCTTGGGCAACCGAACAGCCGGCGGTGGTGGTGCGACCGAGAAGGCCCAGACCGCCTGTCGAGAGGCCCGAGGAGGAGGAGGAGCCGGTGAGGAGAAGGCCCGCCAGGCCACCTGCACCCGTGCAGGAGCAGCTCGAGGATGACATGGAAGTGCCTGTATTCAACCTGAGGCCCAGAAGGCCCATTGTATCGCCCCCAACTGAAGAGCAAGTTCAGGAGGTAACAAAAATTAAAATTATTTAACTTAATATAGGTCTTTTTGACTGCATCGACTACCATTTTTAAGCAGTAAAAATATCAAAATTAAAAAATCACAACAATTAGAAAAATCGGCTCAATTCATGCACCTTTTTAAATCATTGATTTGTGTATCAGTATCAATATGAACGGGAATTAGAGTTGAGGCGACTTTTTTATTAATTTAGAGAATGCATGTTAGTGTGACACGACGTGGAATTCCCACCGCCTTGCCAATACCGCACGTGCACGTGTTCACACAGAAACAAAAGCGTGGGAAAATTATGGAATAATTTTAAAATTATAGAGTGATAATATTATCACATGCGGAAAAGGACGAAAATATATTTTTTTTATTGTATTTCTTCCATTATAATTATTTTAGATTTATTTAGAGAATTTAAATACATAAATTTAGAAAGAGGAAAGAAAATTTTGTATTTACTAAATAGTTTTCATTAAAAATAGATATTATGTAATTTGTTTATTTTTTTGTAGAAAAAAGAATATCCAACTACGACTGAAACAACCTATCAAGGAGAAGCTATATTATTAATTTTAAATCAAACTAATTACTTTTCTAGAAAAGCTTTTTCTAAATTTAAGTTAATGTTTAAATTTTAATTATTTAATTTAATTAATTTTAGTTTAAATATATTTAAAAACAATTATGTTTTAAAAAATTTTGTGCGTGTATTTATTTTTATTTTTTTTATAAATTTTTATCCATGTATTAATTTATAATTATTTAAATATTTTTTTATTTGTGTATCAGCAGAAGCGCGACAATGTAGTTCCTAAAAATTGGATATAATGACGATAATCTATAAATTTTACCATTTTCAATCACTTATACTTTACGACATTAATTCAAGTATCTAGGGTAAATATATTCGCATCTTGATAATGCGCAGCACAATAAAGTATTTGGGATTTAATATTATTATCTTATCCAATCTAATTGTTAGTAACGGATTATCTTAATAATTTTTTTTATCTGCAAATAAACATATACAAATTGTTAAGTATCTATTTCATACATTATTTCATGGGTATCCCTAAAAACGATTTATTTTGAGGGTGAGGATTTTGTTATGTTAAGAAATTTTATTTTAAACTCAACATTACTATAATTTTTCACTGCTTAATAAATAACAGAAATAAAACATATTATAAATTAAATTTTCAATATTAACTAATCTGATTTTGTCTTACAGGAAGAAAAACCGCGTCCCAGGCGACCTCGTCCCACGCCCGCACCAGTGGCTCAGGAAGACCCCGAAGAAGAGGTCAGTCCCGCGACGCCACAGGAAGAAGAGAGGCCCCTGAAGAGACGCAGACCGCGTCCTCCTGGCGAGGGCGGCCAGCGACGCAGACGTCCCAAACCAAGACCGCAGCCGCCGGTGGTGGTTGAGTCTGAACAGGAGGAACAACAGCAGCCCGAAGAAGGGGACAGGAACGTCTACAGGCGACCCATCAAGAACTGGCCGACAAAGGAAACTATTCATGTTGAGGAGCCCATTGTTCCTGAGCACCACGAACCCGAAGAAGAGGCAAACTACCCTGTCATTCCTCAACACCACCAGCAAGAGGAGGAGTTGCACATTCCTGAAGAGGCGCCGTCTGCGGAAACCGTCGAGGAAGAAGTGGCACCAAGTGCTGAGACCTACGAAGAGGAGCCGAACTACCAGGAACCAAACCAGGTTTCCTCCACCGAAGGCCTGTACTCTATTCCTCCCAAGAGGAAACGCCCTGAGGAAAGCGTCTTTAGCACGACTGAGTCGACGACCACATCTAGCACCACTAGTCCCCCACCAACCACCACTTCGTCCATCAGCAACCGCCTCAGGTTGAAGTTGAATGCCACCAGGCCACGTTTCAGCCTGAACAACATCAAGGAAAGACTCAGGCAGCAGGCATTAAACGAGCAGAAGGACGAGCAGTCCACCAGCACTGAGGCGCCAAAACAAAACAGGTTCAGGTTCTCGACGACCTCAACGACCGAAGGGCCGACGACCGAAAGGTCGACCTTCAGACCTTCAGGCCGCTTCACCAGACCTCCAATTTTCCACAGCCGCTTCCGCAGTACCACTGAAGCGTCGCTGGCCGTAGCCACTATGACTGACTACCAGGCTGCCAGGAGGGCCAACCCTAACCTGTACAACATGAACAGAGAGCGACGGCCGCCCCTGAAGACCCTGAGGTCCACCACGGAGCTGCCCGTCACCACCCCCGTTGACGAGGAGGTCGAAGACGAAGTTGAGAGCACCACGGAAACGGAGGAGTTCACCACCGTTGCGCCTCCAAGGTCAACGACCCCAGAGGACTTCGCTCGCAGGGTGACCGACCTGACCTCTTCGGCAACCGCTTACAAGCCTCTGAGCTTCTTCAGCGCCGTGCCCGCCAACGGAATCCACTCGTCGCAGTTGCGTTTCACGATGGCCACCGAAGACCCCATTCTGCCAATCGAAGCATTCTTCCCAGCTTTCGCGTCAAATCCGGGCAAACCCCACGGCGAATAAATAAGTGTGCCTGCGTGGCTAATGTACATACAGTTTTTTTTTTTTGCAAAAAGAGAGAAGAGGTGTAAAAATGGACTAATTTTATTGTAACGTTAAGATATTTATTGTTAGTGTGTAGTTTCAATAAAGCGACAGTAATAAAGAAAACATATTTTTTGTAAATTTCAGATTTAAGGAAAATTTACTACACAATAATCATCATCGTTATCAAACTAAATAATTTACTGATGTGCATTTTTACATAATACTTTGATATTGATAATAATCACGTTAAAATTTATCATATACATATAAATATCCTCCACATATTTGCAACTCTATTGATATTATCAAGCCCAGCCACAAAAAATTAATTATATACCAACGATCAGCAAATTCAATCAATAAAATTTTTTATAATATTTATAACTGAGCAAAACGAACGTTTATTAATTAATCTTAAAAACGCTCACTCTTAATTAGCGACGAAGCCATTTTTGTTTTTCAATTCAATCTGCTTGACCTACAACTTACAACTCTAAACGTTTTCCCTAATTAGTCTCTTTGTTAGCCGTCCCATATTGTGGGTGCTGGCATATATGAGCTCGGCAAGAATCATTGCCAAGATCATAAAGCTTCCTGTGCCCTGTGTGTGAAACAGAAAACCAAACTAGAGCTCAACTATAGCAGCATTTAGTCATCGGTAGGGGCAACTAGCTTTTGTTCTATTGTCATGTCAAAAAATATTATAGAATAAATAATTAAACAATCAATAATGAAAACATTTTCAGGGAGCTAATTATACTCCACTAGTCTTCAATTTTTTATTGTTAACTTTACTCCAATTATCCACTAAAATTGAGCACCCAGATGGGTTTAAAATTATTCAATATCTACTAAAAATCTATCTTTGATGAGACTTTCTAATTTTAAACTATTAAATATCAAGCTTAAATTGTTAATCATGTATTATACATTATAAATCAAGTTCAGAGTAAAATGTAGCAATAAGCTGTAAGGAGACACAGAATTTTTTTTAAATCTATTGCTAGAACCGTTGGAATAAAGAAACAAGTGCAATTGAATAAAAAAAACTTGCTCTTCCAAAATACATCACCACAGAAAACCACCCTTGTTGGACGTTAGACCTATCAAGACCGTGCTCAAGACCTGTTAAACTTAAATTTTTTTAATCAAATGTTAATTAAGTGGAAATTAAAATCAAAAAAGTTTTAGTAAAGTTTATGAATGCAAGAAAAATTAAATAAGTTCACATTAATTAATCACTAAACTGAAACTTTTATTAATTAAAAAATAGATGTGTATTGACTTGACTTGATAATAAATTGAAACTAAAATGTATTTTTAAAACGAAATTATTTCATAATTTAAAAAAATTAGCTTGGACCCGAGACCCACGCTGAGATTGGCCGAGATCCACCGAGACCGGTCGAGACCCACCGATACCAATGGTCTCAACAGGTTTCGAGCACGGTCTCACGTCCGATAAAGGCAAGGTCTGTCTGGTGTCGATAAGATGTGACAGTGCAAAACCGTGGCACTGGCACTGAAAGCAATTTTTCATTTTTCGCCTAATTAGCTCGCGAGTCTCGCAACCCTGATAATGTACTGACATAAATTTTCAATTATCTACATGATATACATAATTATATGAGTTGCACAAGGAAAAGAAGCAAAAAAAGAAAAGCAATGAAAGTGCCAAAATATTATCACGTTATTGAGGAAAAAAATTGTGGGCCGTAAATTCCGCAAAACACAACTGAAGGGCATTGGACAAGCTGACCAAAATAATGTAGTCACGACGAATATAATATTGCAGTCAATATGCAATTTTGTTCCGTCAACACTTACTTCTTGATCGAAATCAAACAATTAAACGTTAAACTTATTGTCAAATACAAACTCTTAGTGGAATCGCTGTTTGTTATTAAAATTTCTTTTTCAAACACGGTCTATTAAAAATATATTATCCTTCATTCCACTTTGGTCTCAACAAAACGGTTGCAAAATGAAAAAAAATATATCAATATATATATTATTCTAAGATAAGCCACAGGCAGCCATCCACCAGGAAAATAAGGCAGCCAGCACCAAATTTCGCGGTTCATCCGAGCCAGCTGCCAGAATAGTTGAAATAGTTGAATGGATCAGGGTTGCATCTAATTTTTATTAATTTTTTTTATAAAAACTATTTCAATAGGATTCTCAGCTTTTATCACAAAGGTTAAAATCACTTTCTTAAAATAATTTAATTATATTAAAACATTATTTGCTGAAAGAATTTGAGCAGCAGCATAAATATCAGTAAAAAAGCAATAGTTTAAATTATTTCTGCTAATGAATGAAGTAAGCTTTGGCACATAAAAAAGGTACCGGATTTGGTCTGTGGGATGATTTTGTCTTTACGTTAAATATTGCTGCTATAGTGGTGATGCTGCGTATTCATTGATTGACTCCCACCCTTTTAGAGTAAAAATTATTGAAGATAATTATACAAAAACTGTAATTTATGAGCTAAATACTGGTTATTAATTGAATAATTTTTTGCTTACAAGTTCATAATATAAACTATATGGATAAAACATGAAGATGTGGCTTGAAGCAGGAGAATATAGAAACATATCATCTGCTCTTTTGAACACATTTCAAACACGCAAATTAAACATTTTTTTTTTTTACTTTGCGGTACAGCAATGAACCTTTGATAAACCTCAAGAAAATCTTCTAGATAGTTTTTCATATTGATTTTTGTTTGTTAACAAATCACACGCAGTATCGTTGAATTGGAGGAATAAGAAATTTACGATACACCCAAGACGTATGAAAGGAAGTAATAAAACGTAGAATGAAGTTTGTGATAATAATTTTTTCCAGTTGGCATTGGCAAGCTGAATAACATTTTTTTGGCAGATATCAATTTTTCCCTAATTAGCCTAATTAGCGCACTTCCTTGATAACACTAAATTTTAAAAATCTGCGTGCAAAGTGGCAAAGAACAAGGAAACAAAAGAAATGTGCAGATATTGTTCGAATAAAAATACTTCAGTACAATCCAGACGACAATTTTCACATAATTAGGGTGCCAAGACATAAAAAAATGCTTAATGTCCTCGGGTTATCAATTAGTGATACGCATGCGCTTGCTAATTTCCTCACAAGATTAAACTTGGGAGCATATAAAAGAGGCTAGGTACTTTCATTAATTCACATAAGAAATTCAGTGACTGGCTACACGATGCGTAAGACGCTCGGGCTACTCCTCATTGCCCTCCAGGTGACGTATATTAAAAAATTCCATATTTGAAATCGCTATTTTTAAAATCAATACTTTTACTTTCAAATCATGTTTATAATTTATAAATTTACCACCGGGCAGCTTTTAAAATCAAAAAATTTATTTCAAAACACGTTTTTTAGTAGTAAAATTTTTAGGGGAAATTAACAGTTTCGGGGAGGTACAATCTTCGTGCAGATATATCAAGGTTTAAAATAATACACACATTTGTCATTTTTGTGTCAATTCGGCCGAATGCAAAAGCTGGAAAAAGGGTTTTAGGCCTTCTCGAGCGGAAGTCCAGGTTTTTGGTTTCTCGATGAAAATCTTATTGTTTTATTGGCAAGAAATCTCCAAATATTAAAGAAAATGGTCCCTCGTCTTAGCTCTTGAATTTTTTGATATGACAAAACAGTAAATCATCCAGATGCTGCCAAATTATAACCAGCAGCAACAATGCGAAACTTTACTGTGAGAGGTCATTTGGTGCAATATATGGTCTATCCACGGATTAATTAATAAATCCAGGGATCAATCTCTTGCAGCTTTTTATTACGAAGATTGAACCTCCCCCAAAACGAAACAGTTCATACCGTTTAACATAATTGATTTTCTTCTTTAAGTGGGGAGCTTTTGTCCATGGACAAACGGCAACGACTGCGGCAGGAGCAACGACTGCAGCAGGTTCAACGACCGCTGCAGGAGCAACCACAGCGGCAGGTGCTACAACTGTGGCAGGGGCAACGACTGCGTCTGGGGCAACAACTGTGGCAGGGGCTACAACTGTAGCAGGTGCAACAACAGTGGCAGGGGCCACAACAGCTGCTGGGGCAACAACAGCATCAGGGGCAACAACAGCATCAGGGGCAACAACTGTGGCAACAACAACTAACACAGGGCCTACTACAACAGGAGGCTCTACAATCACTAACACAGGCTCCACGACAACAGGAGGTTCTACGACGACTAACACGGGCTCGACTACAACAGGAGGATCAACAACTACTAACACAGGCTCCACGACAACAGGGGGATCTACGACCACTAACACGGGCTCGACTACAACAGGAGGATCAACAACTACCAACACAGGCTCCACGACAACAGGAGGTTCTACGACGACTAACACGGGCTCGACTACAACAGGAGGATCAACAACTACTAACACAGGCTCCACGACAACAGGGGGATCTACGACCACTAACACGGGCTCGACTACAACAGGAGGATCAACAACTACCAACACAGGCTCCACGACAACAGGAGGTTCTACGACGACTAACACGGGCTCGACTACAACAGGAGGATCAACAACTACCAACACAGGCTCCACGACAACAGGAGGTTCTACGACGACTAACACGGGCTCGACTACAACAGGAGGATCAACAACTACCAACACAGGCTCCACGACAACAGGGGGATCTACGACCACTAACACGGGCTCGACTACAACAGGAGGGTCAACAATCACTAACACAGGAACGACTACAACTCGAGGTTCTACGACCACTAACACAGGTTCCACGACAACAGGGGGCTCTACGACCACTAACACGAGCTCGACTACAACAGGAGGATCAACTACTTCTAACACAGGTTCCACAGCAACAGGGGGGTCTATGACCACTAACACGGGCTCAACTACAACAGGAGGATCAACAACCACTAACACAGGCTCCACCACAATTACAGGATCGTCGACAGCTACTGGTACAGTATCAACTACTACCGGAGCCTCTGTGACTACCAACACGGGATCTACGACATCTATTTCTACCCCACCTGCCACTACCGTACCTGCAACTACCGAACCTGCCACTACCGAACCTGTCACCGAACCTGCCACTACCGAACCTGTCACCGAACCTGCCACTACCGAACCTGTTACTTCTCCAGCGAGAACCAAACCATCACGCGCCGTAGTTGCAAAATGTCGCCAAATAGCAGGGGTAATTTTGAATATCTGATCTCTACTTTATGAGATTCTTAAAATACATTTAATTTCAGAAAGCATTATCTAAGTGCTGTTCTCCCGATGTACCACGGCTTCTTCCGCTCGAAACAGGTGGCACCTGCAAGTCCTCAATGCTGAAAATGAATGCTTTCAATGTTTTCACACTTAACAAAATGCAAAGTCCATCTAGCAATCCTGTAAATGCGATCAATTTTAATGACGTGAAAGTAATGAAAGCTCTTGGCAAAGCTGCTGTAAGAATTTCTGTCATGATTTCTCCTTTTTTTAACTAAATCTCTCGATTTTCAGTGCTTCGTGAATTGTGTCCTCGAAAATAAGAATGTTGTGAGTATATATTGGTTTCACAATGTAGCGATGACTGGGGCATATTGTACAATTTTACATGATTTCTTGCTCATCAATACAATAAAACATAATTATATTCGATTTAAAAATTCATTTTTGATGATCGAATTATCAATTTGTAATATTACTAGTACAAAGCGAGTAGCTTGGATGCTGCAGCATTAACTGATCTTTTGACTGCGTCGCAAAGTGAACCTTGGCTGACCTTCATCACTGATGCAGTTCCGAAATGCGTGTCATTAGTCAATAGTAATAGTGATATTTCTGAATTTTTTAAAATGAAAAAAAATCTCTTTTGTCGGCAGTTATATCAATAACTAATATTTTCATTTTAAACTATTCAAGCCTTGAGCATCCCTTCGTTCTTATCTGGACAGTTAGCTTGCGATGGTACACCATATGTTACTATACAGTGCATACTATCGGAATTAATTACGGTTTGTGTTTCTCTCATCGATACTTTAAAATTTAGCTTAATAGTACATTTATCTTGCAGAATTGTCAATCGAAAGGTACTGTAGTTTACAACTTTTAAATTTAAGAATAACTTTAATTAGTAATAATTAATATATTCAGAGTCATCAACTCCATGTGTCAAAACATACGAACTTTACAGCAAGTGCAGTGATAGCGTTTTTGCTCCTATCGTGAAGAGACAAATAGGGGTAAACAAGCACAAGAAAGCAAAAAAAGTAAAAAAGGTCAAGAATGGCAAAAAGGACAAGGAAATGACTCAAAACGAAAAAAATCAGAGTGGCAAGAAAGAGAAAAAAATGGATAAGAAGAAAACGAAAGCTACAAATATAAGCGAAAAGCTGAACAAAAAACAGATTGTAAAAGAGAAGGTAACGAATGAAAAGAATAATGGACCAAAAAAGGTAAAAAAAGAAAAGAAGGTAAAAAAGGAGAAAAAAGATAAGAAACAGAAGAAGCAAGACTTGAAAGAACAAAAAGGCAAGGAGGAAATTGGATCAAAAAAGGTTAAGAAGGTAAAAAAGGAAAAGAAGGTAAAAAAGGCAGAAAAGGAAAAGAAGGTAAAAAAGGCAAAAAAGGTAAAAAAGGCAAAAAAGGAAAAGAAGGTAAAAAAGGAGAATAAAGAGATCAAGGAGAAAAAAGAAAAGAAAAAACAGAAGAAGCAAGGCTTGAAAGAAAAAAAAGGCAAGGAGGAAATTGGATCAAAAAAAGTCAAGAAGGTAAAAAAGGAGAAAAAGGTCAAGGTGGAAAAGGATATGAAGAAACAGAAGAAGCAAGGTTTGAAAGAAGAAAAGGGCAAGGATGGAAATAAATCAAAAAAGATGAAGAAGGTAAAGAAAGTGAAGAATGGAGCGAAAGAAGATAAAAAAGACCAAAAAGTGAAGAATACAAAAAAAGAGAAGAACGAGCAAAATGGTTTGATAAAAGTTAAAAAGGAAAAGAAAATTAAAAAAGGGAAGGAGGAAACTGTGAAAAATGCCAAGGGACAAAATGTAGGCAGCAAAGAAAAAAAGATGAAAAAGGAGAAGGCTGGGCAGGAAAAAGGAGTGAAACAAATCAAGGAAAACATAGAAAAGAAAAAGAACAATAAGAAGACAGTATTGGAAAAGAAGGCAGATGAAAAGAAAACTAAGAAAGAAAATAATAGAAAAGAACCATCGCAAAATGGTTCGATTGGAAAAGAAAAGAATGAGATAAAGAAGAAAAAAGGCAAACAGGAGGACCCCAGAAATGAGATATAGATTATGTCAGATATATTTTAAAATATACCAAAGACTGACAAATTGAACATGAACGACCATACGCGACTATCCAATGCTCCCCTTCTTGATATCCGAACTGAGAGATCATGCTTCCTTCTTCAATTGTGTAGCTCAAAAGTTGAAATCAAAATTTCAACTTTTATACTTAATAAAAATTCTTCTGCATCAACAATATTTTTGCCTTTCTATATTTTCAAAATGAGTTTCACATTTTTTTAAATATATAGTATAATTATTTTTGTTTGTTATGCACTTATTTTGTAAGAAAGAAAATTACATAATTTGTTCATTGTACATTAAGTAATTTCATTATCTGTTACGACGATCCTGGAGCAAAACCCTCTTGAAGTGCAGACGAACTTTTCAGCGCAGGGACAAACACCCAAATAAATCTCTCGCATCTCTATGCGAACTCCACCTGGGTAGCCCATGGATAAATTCAAAGGCATATTGAATTGGGTCGACCGGCAAAAGTTGTCTTGGTCAGGTCTTGGGACACAATGCGGTACTCCATAACGCTCCATCCCTCATGAAAAAACCGGGAGTTTTATATAATTTTTTTTTATAATCAAATTTGGAAATATATGTTTGTCGAAAAAATAATCAAGAATTTAGAATGAAACTTATACAATATTAAGCTTCAATTAATATTTTTAATTTATCATTTGACTATTATTCCAAAGACTTTGATATAAAAATATTTGGCTATTAAGATACATAATAATTTAATAACAACTTCAAAACTTGATCTTTTTAACATTTTGACGCATATGGGTATTTTCCTATTTTCCCAATCCTTCATGCTTCGGGACATTCAACCTTAATACAATATAACTACTCAAAAACAGATTTAAGCAATTTACCTAATAAGCAGCAAAATCCTATGCCACAGTCAGCAGTCGACGAGCAAATTTGTCCAGAGTGCAGCTTCGGCCGGGCGATGGCAGCAAAGAGCAAAACGAGCACCAAGGGTGCGATTAGGGGTGTCGACCTTGGCTCCATCCCACTTCCAATGCAACAACTATGAACAGCAAATTTCATGTAGCCAAGCTGCCCACGAATTTCAAAATTGAGAAAATTAATCGTATTTTAAATCGAGGAAAAAAATTTGTTGGAGTTGGATAAAACTTAAATTAAAAAAAACAATATTTATAATAATAAAATTTACTGAAATTGGTCAAATAAATTTATGCAATTACCATACCTTTTTCAGGAGAGAGGAATGCGTAGAGCAGATCTTTTCGCAGCTGGTTAAATATAAATAATCACTGGGAGTTGTTTTCTCCGTCTCGTTGATCAGAGGCAGCTCCACTTGATAATGAGTTGGAAGTGCGCTGGGCGTGTGTGCTGTGCATGTGGCATCTGCTTTCCGCTCGTCTCCTCCTTTTGGTCCTCGCCAAGCTAGGATTATCCGCTCTCTGCCGAGCGTGTGATTTGATTACTGCACGGAATATTTATAAGTGGAGGATTTTGAATATAATTTGCCTCAAAAACAAGCCGCGCATCCAATTATATGCAATCCACTGGTAGAGAAAGTACAACAGAATGGTCGGGACGTTGACAAGCAAGGATGTTTGTGTCAATCATCAACGCGTTCAGCCGTTTTTTGTATTCATGATTTTTTTTTTATTGTTCCATAGGACTAGAAGCACATTTCGTTCTTTTCTTTTCATTAATAATTAATCTTTATCAATGGTAGTTTTCACTTAATAAGTAAATAACAATTCATAAATTTCACTCTTGGCATTCATTCTCGTCGCATTTTCTCACTTGCGCAGCAGGAAAATCTCAAATCTCATTTCAAGGTTTCACAGATGAGAGACGCACACCTCATCTCACACGCACAAGATCTCATTTCGGTTTTTACATAAAAGTAGGGACTCTATTACGCACGCATTCGTTTTCTCTCTAAAATAGTGCTGAAGAGTTTTTGTGATAAAAATTCGTACAACAATCACTTGTTCAAAAGTTACATTGTTTTTTGTTTCTCCAAATACTCTTTCACTTTAAATAGTGCACTGTGTGTGTGTGTTTGTTCTCCGAAGCAGATTTTTTTCTGTTACAAAATTAGGCCTTTCCAGAGTGATTGTGTTCAACTGAACGAATTTTTCGTTTTTTTTTCTATAGCTCGCGTTTAATTTCGTGAGATCAACGGACTGAGTACACACACCAGAAAAGTCGGCAACAGCAGCAGTTGTAGTGGAAAACAATCAATTAATATATCCAAGAGAAAATGTGTAAAAAATCCCACGTCTCAAAAATTGACTACAGATACGAACGAGTGTTTTTCGATCCATTCAAAAATGCTTGAATCTCGTTTACAAAATAATTGCAGACGCACACACCGGTGCGGATATATATATTGTATATTAAATTTAGAAAAATGGACGTCAAGAAAGACATCTAGCGAAACCGGAACGGTTTAGAATATATTCAAACGGCCAAGATTGCGTGCGTCCAGCAGCAATATCGTAATTTTTTTGCGAATAATCTGTTGTCTGGACACAGCAGTTTTCACGGAAGTATTGAAACAATTCGCTCGGTCGCCAGCAGTCAAAGCTCTGTTGGCCTGAAAATCGCGCAATTGCACAAATTCATACTCGATAAAAAAATGCCAATATTCGTAATATGCAAGCAGCTCAACACTAAGAAAATTAAATTTTATAATCATAATTAAACTTTTTTCTTGGTTTTGATTGAACATTGTAAAAAAAAAATATTTTTATTGCGTATACTTTCATAATTTTTAAATAGGTTGCCTAAATCAAATTTGTAAGGCGCCATCTCTGGCAAATACTGAACTTGTTAATTTATTTTAATCTCAGAGGGTTGAATAAAATTCCACCGGAGTGTGAAAGGAATTTAAAAAAAAAATGGAATTTTATGTGTTGAGCGGGTTGCGTGTTGCGAAAACAAGCAATTCAAAAAAACTTGTAGTAAAAAAAAATACCTCCGTTCTATATGTGATAAAAATTATCCACGCACGCACTCTCGATTCTTTCAGTGAGAAAAACAGGACCAACTTGTGTAAAAACGCGTGGAGCCGTACCAGAGATGAAAGAGATTTGTTTTTCGGTTATTGGAAGTTTGCCCGGCAAACGGAACGCGGAGCCAAGAAAGAAAGAAGCGACCGCTACATTAAGACCGGCTTTCCTGTCACGAGCCCATTTTCGTTCAGGCCGCCAGCGATTTTTTATGCACTCGCAATTTGCCGTCATTATTATACTCTCTGGTAGGAAAATAATTTAAGAACTGTGTGGAAATTTATGTATCAAGGAAAAGAAGAAGAAGTGGTGTTGCTTCTCGAGGGGCAAACGGTTCGAGGGCCGGGATTAAAGGTGGCGTGCTTTCTTTCAAGAGGCTCAGGAGAAGTATGGCGCCGCCGGTGGCGCCGCACGTGGCCCTGCTGGCCAAGTGGCAAAATTACCGCCTATCGATTGGGACGCCTTTGCAGCGAGCAAACGAGCGACAAGACGGGCTCATCTCCAAATCTCTCTCACACAGCTGGTGGCTCTGCGCGATTTTTCTGTCAATTCTCTCAACTTTTTCTCTCATTTTATACAGAGTAAAAAACCGATCCGGGAAAAATTGTCGCTTATTTTTTTAATTATACTTAACCGTGCATTTTAAGGAGAACGCTAGTTTTGATTTTTTTAAATGGAGAGATTTTTGTGTTTTGTGCCATAGAAATGAGTGCGCTAATTTTTAGTCATTATATTCTAACTGATGTCCTCGCAAGCGATTTAAATACATCTCTCTTGAACTACGCGATTTATTAACTCGCTCAACTATACGCAACTAGTCGTTTCTTGGAATGCGTTGAGACCTAAATTTCTTCGAATATTCTGCCTTCGTAAAAGAGCGCGCGTACACACATGTTCTGTATGGTGTTCATTAAAGTATTCAACTCCACCGATTGAGCTACAACTTCTCACTCTTGATTTTTTAATGCTCTGCACACATTGTTTTTTTCCCTACGAATCAACAAGGAAAGCTTTGCAAAATTTAAATTTTTTTTATACAGCTGAAGAATATCTGGTTATTAATATTTTCGCAACACTTTGATCGAGACTGAAGATTTCAAATTTAAATTCATTATACGGCTGACATTATTTTTTCTCTTTAATTATATAATTAACATTCAAAAATTACGACGCGCGTCTCTTATAATTTCTCTAATGCAAACATGTGTTTAAGTGACCTGAGTTTAATTAATTTAATCGAGAATAAAATGTGTAACCTGCTAAAACGCTAGTGCTCAATAATGCGCGTGACGTAGATTATAAAATTTGCTTAGTTTTCCTTCTTTTAACTACATTTCAGCAGTTTGACTGCTGAAAATCAACATTACTTAGTTAAAACCGTCGAATTGCTTCGAAATTTGCTCAAAGCTGACCGCCGTTTTTCACAATTATTAGAAATTGTGCAGAAAAATCTCTCAGTTTATAACAAATTCATTTTTCAATTTAATTGCTCGTGGACAAAAACGTATATTTTTCTATTTTGTTTTATTGTTTTTTAAATTGCCGAGAGTAAGTTTTTATTTATTTATTTATTTATACTTTTTAATAACGAGTGAGAGTGTGTGTGTATTAATACTAGGACATGTTTCTACATACTTTTGAGTGCGAATAAGGAAAATTGTTTTTGTTGCTCTCCTTTTTCCACTTGCGCGATTCTCTCTTATTTACAATGTGAAATAACAATCGCAAATACTTTTAATTATTTTTACCTGTTGAAAGACGACTACAGGTGCATCAAATAGACCCCTGGCTTCTTCTGCCTTGCTTTTTTTTTAATTATTTATTTATCTGTGTCTATTGAGAGCTCTCTCTAATTCGCAAAACACCGACTTTTTCTGCAAAAATTATGCGGAAAGCGCAGAAATATCTAATCAGAGAGTCTTCATTTGAAACACCTTGCTCTAAATTAACCCTTTAAACTCTCGTATTTTTTGGTAATTCACACGCCATACTACAATAGATCATCTCTTTTTTTAAAAAAATGGAATGTTGCTGAAAAATCAACTCTCTTGTGAAAGAAAATCAGAGCGTGTCTTACATGCTACTTTTTTATGATGGTAATTATATTAATTCATGTATGATTCCTTATTTTGAAATCGATTCAATTAATAATCTCTAAAAACTGCTGTGTGCAATTTAAAAAGGTATATCACACTATTCTTAAACTTCTTTGCGCCAAAAAGCACCAAATTTGAACCCGCGTCCGCTCAAAACGTTTTGCAAAAACACCACTGAATCAGGTAAATGAATATTATTGGATACAAGGTTTGATAAAACTTCCACCTTATGAGAGTTCAAAATTTTGACAGTTTTTGGGGAATTTCTTTATAGAATCTTAAAAAAATGAAAACTTTTCACCACAGAAACGAGTCTGTAAAATAAAAACGTGATGAAAAATAGTCTTAGGTCTCTGAAGAAATGACCAAAATCTCATTTGAACCCAAATTCGGTGGTGGTGCCTGTTATTGAGCGCACGCGACTAGATGCGTTTTATTGCTGTGCTGCTGTGTTTTTATATCAAGTTCGCGCACTTGAACGAACTGGCGTGGGAAACGCACTGACACTGAACGTCTTTGCACTGCAAAGCCCTTCGTCTAATCCGAGTCCATTATTTTTTGTCTCTGTTTTTGCTTGAAATTTATGCGGCACCGAGCACGCAGCGTGACAAGAGTTCGGCCACGATTGAGGCATCAAAGGCGTCGAGGTGCGCCGCGCCCAACGAGCACAGCGGCGCCGTGTCCACCAGCAGCCGGTGTTGACGCAGCAGCAGCGGCGGCGCCAGCCGCGCGTGGCAGTAGGGACGCTGCGGTGCCGCCGAGCATCATAGCGCCGCCGAGTCAAACGCTTGCAACGACTTGTGGATCACCTCGTCCTGAAAACAAGCAAACGAAAATCATTAATTTTAAGCTTTACTAGAAAGTTTGGTTTACAATTTGTGTTCAATAACATTTAACTGAAGAAAATAGCATTCAAAATATCTTGTTATGATTTGACTCGATAAACCAGGAAAAATTATTTTACATGTTGTGATGCCTAATATTTGGCTAATTGTTTGCAACCCGCTTGACTAACACTCACAATTTATAGAAAAAAAATTCTTGTTCATATAAAATAGCGTTTTATCCATTAAAATAAATTTAAATTTAAATGATAATAAAATATTAATAATATTTATTTTATAAAATAAGTAACAAACTTTTTGATGTTTTTTTTTTAATTTTTAAAATAAAATTGGTTTTATGCTGCTTTTATAATATAAAATAAATTTATAAATGTTTACATTTGTAACAATGTTGCAATGTTGTTTTTTAATGTAGAAAAATTACTTTTGTTCAAATTTGATGACGTTCAGAAAAATGTATAATTTGGTTATAGTGCATCGATGTTTACTTTAATTATCAAGATTCTGCATGTGGAGGGTGTAGGAGGAAGTTAATTTTCCATTAGCTACTCAAACTTCGTACATGTAAATAAAATATAAGCATTGATGTTTTATTTATGAGCAATAATAAGAATAAAAAATTGTAACAAATTAAGTAAAAAAATTCAATAAACTACCGTTATCTAGAAAGTTGTCGCGCAACTTCAAGGGTAGTTTCTTCTAGTTGACTTCCAAGTGGTGAAAACGCGTAAAAATCTTTCATTTATATTAATTTTGTTTATATTTATACGCTTGATATGTTACAACATGTGAAAGGATAAAGAAAAGGTATATTTAAACCAAAAACTGTAATTTTTAAGTTCTGCATTCTCTGATCTCCTACATTAAATTTACAAAATAAAAGAAGAAAAAACATTGATATTTGTGATCCCTTCCAAATTGAAACGCGTCTCTTTTAAATTTTAAATGACCTGGTATTATTAAAAAAAAAAAAAAATCAAATTTCCCATTTTATTTATAGAGACTGTTATTTTGAAGCACAATAAAAATTATAAGCAAAAATTCCTACAATTTGATATGAATTTTTATGTTAAGAAGTTAGCTTGTGCAGCTTGCTTATACTAACTTAGCATGTGATTTTTTTTTATAAAATGGACCAAACAAAGAAATAAAGCTAAATTTCAAAAGGAAATTAATATTTTGAACCATTTTTTATCAACTGCTCAACTCGTAGTTTCAGATGAGGATGTGTAAATATGTCACACTAAATTTATGGTTGGGTTTTGGCAAAAACAAGCTAAATGGGAAGAGAGCAAAAACAGTGGAGGACACTCACGTCCCTACAAATATTCGTGTTTGATGCACTCTCGGCGCTTTTGTGTATGTTTGTACGCGGCGTACACACAGAAAGCAGAGGAGATGAAGCGGCGGCGGCACCACTCTCTCAAAAATAAACCGCGAGAGCAACTCGAGCATGTTAATGCTGCGGAGGTTTATGTTTTGGCACATCAAAAGGGGCGCACGCGACTCGAAATCGAGTCACTCAGCATCAGCGAGCTGCAAACTTCCGAGGTGATAATAAAACGCACTGCCGGATGTGCTGCCTGGAAAGTGAGAGAGAGACGCGTGCCGCCGCAAATTTCACCGCGGTGCATAAAATTCGGGGTGCCGAATGAGATAATAAATACATAAAAAGGGGTAAACCTTCAAGGATGTATTCATAGAGTTGGCTAAAATAAGCTGCGAGACGATTTGCTGAGCGAAAAGATACTGAATTTTGTTTTGTTGATGGATTCCTTTAAACATTTTCTCCTTAATTTATTACCAAACGTCATATTTATAAAAATTAATATTGACCTGAATAAACTGATTGGCATTTTTAAGCATTTAATATTTATTAGACATGGATGAATTAAAAACAAATTTAAATTAATTAAGCTTTTGGAATCACTTTGAATTTAAAATCAAATACTTTTAACCTTGATATTAATTAATCTCTTTTCTAATTAGGATTAAAAATTAATTTTACGTCTAAAATCCTATATTTCGTCAGAAATTTTTGCTCAAAGAAAGAATTAAACTCACAAATTTTTCTAAAAAAAAAAAAAATTTATTTTCCCGATTGAATTTAATTTGTTTTTAATGGCATAACTTTTTGCCAGCAATTGGACATGGATAATAATATCAAAAAATCAAATCCTTATTGTTGTGATTAGATTTCTATTAAATTTACCTTGAGGCAGGACTCTATGAACTCCTCGAGCGTGATGACGCCGTCCTGGTTGATGTCCAGCTTCCTGAACACCCTGTCCACCTGCTCTCTGGCCTTTCTGTCCTCGTCCACCTGCCAAAGCGAATGAGGTCAGTCGCCTCTTTGTTTTCATCAAATTGAACTGCTTTGGTTCACCTGGTGCGCTTTGCGCCCCATGAGCTCGTGGATGGCGACCACGATGTCCGCCAGTTCGGAGCGCGTGATGCAGCCGTCGCCGTTGATGTCGTACAATTTGAACGTCCATCGCAGCTTCTCGTATATTGAGCCTCGCAGTAACGTGCTCAAGGTCACTAGTAAATCCTGAAAAAAAATTTTTTAATTAAACAACACCATTATACTTAATTAATACAAGACTAAAAAAGTGTTTAAATTTTTCTCTTCAAACTTGTAAAAAGTATGCAACCCGCGAAGCTACAATGCAAAGTTAATGCGATATGCCATAAAAATTAAAAATGAGCTTCGAAATGGACAAAAAAATCTGCTATCCTTATTTAAACTTAAATGTTTTGAAAAAAAAACATAAGTTGAAATTAATGAGTTATTTTTATTAATAATTATAAAACAAATTCAATATACAATCACATTCAGGGAATATGAAATTAATGGTAATTTTTTTAATAGAGGTTTGCAATTCTAAATCTGACACACTATATTAAAAAAATATAAATATTCAAAAATATATTATGACCAAGTAAATCGTTTGTTGGTAATTTTCATCAATTTTTAAATTTAAGAGTTTTTGACACTTTTATTTATAAAATTTATTTAAATATTGTAAAAATAGAAATAAAAAATAAAACCTTTTAATTTAAATAAATTTATCATTGTTTTAAATTATTAAGAATTTATTTACTTTTACATTTTTTATTAACAATAATATTTTTAAAACACTAGATACATTAATAAATAAAGTTATTTAATTGTAAGTATTTTTAAATAATTTTACTTACCCTAAAACTGATGGCACCATTACTGTTGACGTCAAAAGCTTTGAAGACATAATGCGCGTACAAACTAGAATCTGCAAACGAGAAAACGCATGAATTAATTTCCTCTTATTCATGACGATGGACATAGACTTTTCACTCAGTGAGCCAAATCTGCTGAGGCTCAGCCCAATATGTTTGAAGTTTGAAACGAAAATTGAACTTGGGGTTTATTGGTGCGACACACAAAACCAACCGACTTGCCGATCGCCTGTGTGTCTGTTTATTTGGTGATTCATTCAAAGACTCGCGTGCCTATAAAATAAACAACAGCAACGCGGCGGCGTCTATTATTTTAAGTCTCTCCGCGCGCCGGCTCCGAAAAAGCACCACAAATATATAAATCAACCTAGAACCGAGAAAGACGAAAAACTGCAGCAACCTGCTCTCGACTGGGGTGAGAACCGTAAAATTTTTTAAGCCTTTCCTGCGCTTTTATTGCTCCATTACCAACTGCTTTAATGCGAACAAATGTATTCATTAAAATTCTTTTAGCACTTAAAAAGGAAGAGTTATGGCGTTATTGCATATTCTGTGACTTAAGAGGTTCGGAAGCTTTAAAAAATTCTATGCATAAGAGTTTCTGATAGATCTTTGCGTAACGATTGTAACCTATTTTAGAATTATTTTTGGACAAAAATTGACAGAAAGGAATGAACATTTAAAGTTTCTGAAGCAGAAGCAGTTAATTAACCTACCGGAATCATCATAGATATAGTAATTTTTAGTAAAATTATTTCTAAAAATTCTAAAAATGAAATGATTTTCTGTTAGTTTAATTTTCTTTATCATATACAAAAAAATGCTGTTACTTAAAGCGCTGAAAGGCGAAAATGTGAACTTCAGCCGGTTGCATTGAGTGCTGCGGCTTAATTTAGAATTAAAGAAGGGCTTGACAAGCCAATAAATTTGGCCGGCGCGACCCGAAAAGCGAAAGGCACACAGAGAAATTCCTCTCGGGCCGAGAGCGAGCCCATAAAATGTTTGTGCAGCGAATGACGCGCAAAATACAACTTTATCTTTACGGCCCCATCCAAGAAAGCCGTAATGAATGCGGTGAAATGGAAAAAGGGCCAAGAGACATTCTACTGCTGCTTTTGCTTCGGCGTAAAAAGCCCTCGACCGACCGGGATCCCTCTTTACTCCCTCACTGTATTTCGCCACCCAAGAAATGAGAAAGGGTCATTTCTGGGAGCGATGAAAAATGTGTGCTCGAAAAAATGCTTGTCGCTCTCTGGCCAGCGTGAATTACTGCCCGCTTTCTTTCATTCCACGCCTAAATTTACAAGAGAACCGTTGAAATTAAAAATTGTTTGAATAATAAATTATAAACAATGGGCGGAAATTGCTAATAATTAAGCTGGACTGAAGTATTATCTTTTTTTCTGTACTAAATTTGTCTGAAGCAATACCATTGCGTTAAACAAATAATAAAAAAATGATGTTTTAATTCAAATGAAAAATGAAACATCAATCATATTGAACCTGCAAAAAAAAGCGTTTTTGACTAGAAATTTATGAATTATATACGGGAAATAACTATAATTGCTTCTTTTAAGTACAATTTTTAATTAAAAATTTAAAAATTTCGGCATTTTTAATATAATAAAATTCAGGAAAAAGATAAAACAAAATAAAATGTTATATGTTATATACATTTTTTGTATGTGTTATTTTAATATAAATTTTATTGTATGCTTATATGAAAATGAAAATAATAATATAGGATCGGCACGCATAATTTAATTATTATAATTTTGTGCTGATTAAATTATTCTTGACAAAAAGCTTAGACTGTGTGATTGCCTGTTTTAAGTTTTTCATCAAATCAATGATGGGGTGCGAGATAATTATTTACGTTTAAATTTTGCATTTTCTCTTTTCCTTTTCTTTTAAAATCGCCATTTTTTCATTTGAAAAGAAAAATGGTTTTATTTCAAACAAATTTTTTAAGAGTATTAAATCAGATACTGGTTAAAAATTTCCATGAAAAACGATACATTAATAATACATATTATTTATATATAATATTTAATATGCAATTTTTAACAATTGATGTGTTAGCAATTTGAAGCGTTTAAAAGCCAGCAACTTTTGCAATTATCTTTTCTTTTCTCATTACTCCTCCCTATTCTTTTCGTGGCGCGCTAGGCGAGGGCAATTTCGTCGGCTGGTATGCAAAAAAGGGTTGAGGCGAGGGTAATTAATTAGCTGCAAGGGCGGAAAGGAGAGACAAAACAAAGAAGCGAGCGAGCAAAGAAAGAAAGAAAGACTCACTGCCGTGCGGGAAGAACTTGGCGTAAATATCCTTGAAGGCGTCTTCATGAACTAATCCCTCGGGGCATTCCTGCAACACACCAAAAAACACACGAATGAGAAAAAAGTGACGACTGCACGCACGAGAACTCTCGCCAGGCGGAGAAGCACAAAAGTGAGTGGCGAAAATGTCACACTGACCACCGACACGCCTTGCCGGACGACGCCAGCAAACTTTTGCCTTTTTCGCCATTGCGGGAGTTAAAGGTCGACCGACGAACAAAATTTTCAGCGAAATAATAAATAAAATGCCAATTTAATGTGGAAATAATACTATGATTGTGTTGCTCAAATTATTGATGAGCATTTCAAAATTTTAAGTTGGTCAACTTCCGAATTTAAAATTAATCTACAATCTGTAAATATTGTGTTGGTAAAATCTTTTCAGTTTATTCGACAACTGAAAAATTTCATGACCTCCCATAAAATTCCAAAAGCATAATTATTCAATATCTTTTTATTTCGTTGATTTATGGAAAAAAATCATAAACGGAGTAATATTAATAATTGAAAATTCAGTTAGTCTCCTAATTAATTCAATGAATCTCATCGCTTTTAATCCACACATGTAATTTCTAAATAAGGTATAAAAAAAATCCCATAAAAATTAATTTCGCAGAAGCTAAAATTGAAGCTGCATCAAACCCAATAAGCAATTCTTTGAATCTTTGAAACTAAAATTATGAAAAATGATATCTGGCATTTGAACAAATAAACAACAGCCCATATAGATATTAAAAAATGTGTTTTTTTTTTACAATTGTTCAACTTCAGATCAAAGTTTATTTAAAAGCATTTTTTTGAGAAGAATATTGAATTTAAGTATATTTGAGCAAAGACCTTTATTAGCTCCACTCTGCAAATCAAAACTCTCATTTAAAAATAATTCATTCCAATTTAACATTTGCGTGGAGTCGAGCTATTTTTTTACTACTTTGTGTGCGATTCAGTCTGGGCTGTTATACATTAGCTGGGTTAAGGTCGGAATGAAAGTGATAACGGGGTGTGTGACGCAGCCTGCATTTCAGTGAAATGGCACGTATTATTCGACGGGGCGCACCGGGGTTTATTGGGCGTAAAAGGCAGCGCCTGAACCAATATTTGCGTTTAATCCGAGAACGAGCCGGCAGCTTTAAGACGAAGATCGATCAGCCCCGGCAGGGTAAACAGGCAGGCGGCCGCGCGCGCCACCAGAAAGAAGAGAGAGGTGAAGTGACTCTTGAGCCCCCAATTAAACAATCTCGAGAGGCGGCCTGAATAAAATGACAAAACACATCTAAAATATCAAAAGCGAGAGCGGCGGTGTTGCAGCGAAAAGCAGCTTTCCGGCCACTTGATGGATGAGGCGTCATTGCTTTATCACTTTGCACCGTCCCCGGCCAACTTTGATCGAGATTGATCTTTACAAGAACACGTAAATAAGTTAATAACTCATTAATTGCAACACAAACGGAACATCGGACACGTTAGGAAAAGTTTAAATAATTTTAATTATTTTAAAGATCTTCTAAAATAATATTATTTTTATAAATATGAATAATTTACTTAAAGGTGCTTTGAGAAAATAGTCAAAAATCCGTTAGTAATTAAAATAATATGTTAGATTTGATATACAAAATAATTAGTGTATAAAATTAAAACAATATGCTAAATTTTCCAATTATTAGATCTTTAAAAAAATCTCCACTCAAAAAATAAAATGTAGTTAATTATTCTTAAATTATAATAAATCCTATCTTTGTTTGAAGAAGTTGACACTCGAGGAGATGATCATGGAAATGAAGATTCGGGCTTTTCCTCGTTGCAAAAAATTGTTTTTATTCAAAAACAAACGGCTCTTCCAGTTTCAGTCACGGTCTGCTTGCTTTTCAAGCTCCTATAATAGTTTTTTTTTTAAGGAAAATATTATTTTAATAAAATCTGACTGATTGTGAGAGACTTTTGACCAACAAAATTAAATCAAGTCGTTTTCATAAAAAAATTTTCCTCAGCCAGGTTTCATTTCCACAAAGTTGCTGATATGAGACCATTTAATTCCAGACTGCCTTGCCAGCATAATAATTTTATTGCTCCCGCTCCACCAATTTCACCGCAAATTGAAGCTGTTCACACAAATATTTCTGCCTTGCAGACAAATTTCCCAGGCGGACTATGTACTTTCTTTCGACTAAGAATGAGATTTGAAAGGTGCAAAGTAGTCTTGCTTCGAATTATATGCCACTGGAAGACCTTTTCCGCTGCAAAAGGTCGTCCCGCCATTTAAAAGTCAGTTAACGAGGCTACACAAATATTGCCGAAGTGCAGAATTATTTAAATGAAAAGAAAAGAACGGTTAAGGGTTAAATGCTTGGGTAAATTTCACGATCCACCGAGCATTTCTGGGCAATTTTTAAGGTCGAGCGGTTTCGTGAGCGACGTGGCGGCAAATTTTCCGCGACACGGAGCACATTTTTCTCGAAACAAAAAGATGGCTGCTCGCGATATGTGCATTCTTTTTTTCTCGAAAAGAGCGTGGGTTGCACGCGGCGCGAGATAATTTGGCGGAATATTGAATTGTGGCGGCGGCGCAGCGTTTGGCGCGCGGCCAAAAACCCGCTCGTCAAAATATGATCCGCAGATTTTCGCCACTTCGTCCCGTCATAAAACGCGCGTGCAAAAACGCGAGGGCAAAAAGAAATATATAAATGACGCAGTCTGCCAAAGGTTTTTTGTCCGGAATTTGTCATGAGAGCGATACTCGTCAAGCTGGAATTTTGCTACAAATTCCTAGCTCTGTTTTTAGATTCAACAGAGAACATCTTTTGTATAATATTCATGAGATTTTCATAGTGGGAATCAGACAAGTGCCTTTTTATTCATTCACTCAGCGATGGCATGTTCAAGAAGTGGCTTTCCTCATTCGAGTCAAATAAATGTTATTTTGTATTGAGTTTGTTTCCCAAGTCACTTCTGACTAAGAAACGATTTCAAGCAGGAAATTCTTCTTCATTGAGAAAGTGAAAAATGTAGCTTTTAATACTGCAATTTCATCCCGAGCATCTGTTTCAAAAAAACAAAATCCATGCTATTTATTAACTCTCCACTGAAACTGAAAACACTAATTATTTAATCTTCAACATTTATATTGCTTTATTTTCAAATAAATAGCTGATTTTTAATTGTTTCTTAAAAATATTTTCATATCGTTTAATATAGAAACTAATTTACTGCTAATTAAAAATTAAAAAAAAAATAGCATGTATTGCATGTATCTTGAAAAGAATCTTTAAGTTGAAACCTGTGTAATATTGGGATCTTAATTGACAAAATTACAATTTTTTTAAATTTATTGCCACTTAATTTTTACAAGTATTATTTGGTGACGAATCGAATAATTGAAAATAATTAAGGCCGTAAAATAAATCTGTAAGAAAAACATCAAAATTTTGCAATAAAAACACGCTTAAAATGTATACTTCAAGTAGTACTTTGAATTAAAATTTAATCCACTGATTTAAAAAATGATTATACAGAGCAAAACTTGACGTTTGATAATTACTCTTTTTCTCAACTAAAAACTATACTACCCTCTTTCCAGGCAACAATACATATAACTACTTTAATTGCTTTAATTAATAGTCAACTTTACTGCGCTTGCAGAATTTTTTTGCAAGTTTATAAAAAAAATTAATCTTCAACCCACAGCTGGCAACTTAATACAAATTTTACAACACGATATAATCTCTTAAGGCCAAATTAAAAGTTACCCCCAAGACAATTCTCTCATTTGAAATTCCATTAGTGCAGCGTGCCTAATCAAGTGTGCTCGCCGCTGCTCAAAATGCAAAGTGCCCGTCGTTAAAAGCGAAGATCCTGGAACATATTGGACTGCTTTGAGTGCCCTCGACCTCCTCTCTTTTTTGCCTCCAAATGATTATCAAGACTCGTGTGATATTATTACACACGCGCTTTTTGTATTTGGCCGTTTTTCCCCTGATAGTCAACACGAATGCTGTTGTATTTTTTTTCTCGGCTGGAATGTAATCATCATCATTCTCTGTTTTGCCGCTGTCGGTCGGTATTGATTTGACAATTCCATTGCGCGCGTTGTGCTGGTGTAAATGTTATTGTTTGCCTCTTTTTTTCGTGACCCCAAACGACCGACTGTAAAATGTCGTCCGCGGACCCGAGCTCGACCGTGTTGTGTGATATTCAAAAAAGTTGCTGGCGTGCACCGTGGTCATTTGGAAAAAGTTTGTCAGTGAGGAAAAGTGAAATCGCTTTATAAATTCTACATTACCTCAATTTACATTTTTTTCTAAGTAAACCACTTTATTTGTGTAAAATTTTTTACACAAATTAGTGTGGGTTTTTGTTTTCATTATATTCATTTTCGTGTTTCAAGAGGAAGAAATTGTGCAATAAATAAACTACTTTTATTCTTACTGAAATAAATTGCTATGAAGTAAATATTAAACTTTTCAAATAATAATTTATTTAATTTCAGAGATATCTGTGGTCAAGAAAAAGTAGAATAAATATTGAATGCTAAAACTGAACTCTCTTCTTATGCTCTTTATAAAAATAAATATTTATAAAAGTTAAAATTGAACCAAAAACTCCTGATTTAAAAAATCTTCTCTTCCAAAGCTCTGTCAAAAAGCGCCTTCAATTTTCAAAAAAAAAAAAAAAAAAAATATGCATATATTAATATTAAAATCAAAAATATTGCCAATTTGAGGTTAGAAACATCCTCTAAAAACATGCCTAATTTACGCACAAAACTATAGAGTATCAAAAATTAACACGGGTTTAACCCAATTCAAAAATTGTAATATTAAAACTTGAAATTAAATTTTCCATTGTTCAAAATATTAAATATTATCAAATTATTGCACCGGCAACGTATAAGGCCACGTTACATTAAAAAGCGTGTAGTGGCGGACTGGAATGTAAGCCAGGCATCGGGGAAGGAAAGTTTTTTCAATTCTTGTGATGATGAATGAATGGGGTGCGAGAGCGGAGGAAGGAAGCGTGTCGTGGCTCCTTTCG